CATATGGCCAACCAAGCCCTAATGTTCAGAAAATGTATTCCTGGCTCAATTAATATAAGGAACCAGTTATTTAGTTCTCTTTGTTTATTCTGTCAACAAACTTAATAAGTGGAGAGAAAGACAAATATGCTCAGAGAAAGGTGTAAACTCACACAACTTTAATATTGGGTATGACGACTTCAAGTATATGTGGAACTAAAGACTTAGCCACTATACTTATGACATTTGGCCCCATGTTAACCCTTATTCCAACGTACATTTTGAAATATAGAAAATATATTTTTTCAAGTTGATGCTTAAATCTCCGTATTTCAAAGCTTTTGAGATCAATCAAAAATAAGCTGTGCCTGGCTAACTAAATCAACGTCCTAGAAGATATACATCTAGAGGCTTTATTATATTGTCATTTGGATGAGAAATGGTCCCATTCCTTTATCCATGTCTGAACCAGAATGTAATTTGATTGAAGCATGGAACCATACATGTACACAAAAATGAGTAAAACCAGGTCTCCAATATAAAGAGAGTTAGACCTGGCAACACTCAGCCACTGCTTACTGACATTTCCTAAAACAAGAGAATTAGGAAAGCAGCTGTCCATTAAATTTACATCTATTGAAACTATTGCATCAACTTTGTCTCTCCCATTGGACAGGTATTTTCTAAAAGAGATGACCCAGCCAGATGAAGCGAGTAAGTTCCTGTATAAGTAAGCCTGGAAGACAGACCAGAGACGGGAAGTTCTTTTGTTGGTTGAGTGTTGTATCTGAACAACAATGTTCCAGATCCACAGATGTTATTTCAATTTGTCAGACACCAGCTCTAGTTTCAGATTTATTGCTAGATTTAGGCTGCAATAATGAGCAAGAAACTGGGTAACTTACTCCAGCTAGCAGCTACCTGGCCAAGAAATAGCAATGGCAGCTTGGAAACATTACTCTTACAATACAGCAATAGTGCAATCCAAGAGATATACCAAGGAATACAGTAGACCAGCAGAGAATTTAAACTATTATGGTATGGAGGGAAAATTTTGAAGCCTCCAAACATAATGTTTGTTTGAAAGATAATCAGAGAGAGAGCATTGAACAGGGTTGAAAAGGTACATTTTTGGGTCTCAATTTTGTAGGGAAGAATATTTTGAAATCATTTCAAACACTTTTTAGTGATGGTCATGGGAGGGGGGCTGTATCTGATGGAATAGCTTGGTTAGAATTTAACATTAGTGCTGTAATAAATCTGTATCTGATGGAATTGCTTGGTTAGAATTTAACATTAGTGCTGTAATAAATCTGTATCTGATGGAATTGCTTGGTTAGAATTTAACATTAGTGCTGTAATAAATCTGTATCTGATGGAATTGCTTGGTTATAATTTAACATTAGTGCTGTAATAAATCTGTATCCAAACTTTTACAAAGGAACAACTCTGGTTCATAATGAAATATTTCAAAAGTTGAGTTAGCCTCTTCTATTCAGATGCCAACCTCAAGTACAAATAGCTGTGATTTTGCTAATCAAAATGCAATTATTAATAAATACACCAAAAACTGTTCAAGAGTAACTCTATTCAATGTCTGTAACCTAAAACTTTACTGGACAGTGTACCTCTGCCCCAGTCATGAATAGGTGAATACAACCCCCCTAGCAACCTAATTTCAAATGGTCATCCTTAATTCACTAACTTTCACTCTTTAACAACAACAAATAATTTTGCTAACTTTCATATTTGTGGAACTTATATCTTTTAGATATTTTTCAGAACTAATTTCTTCTTTCCTGTTTATTAGGATATAAGTTGCAGATAAAGGGCATTTCATATGGAATTGTTTGTATGGGAGGTCCTTTCAATACTCTTTACCTTTGAGAGGGAGGACAAAGCAAATGGCAGAAACTGTCAGGCTGAGATGAGGTTCTGTATGGCCAATGGTTAAATAAATGAAATCCCTAGAACTTTTCCTAGAATTATTTAAAACTCTTTTGTATATTTTACTGCAAAGAATGCTTAACCAAAACCAATATGCTTGGAATGCCAGCGATCATATATACACCTGTGTATATAACTATGCTTTCTCCAACATCATCTGAACAATCATTATTAGGCTAGAATAAAGTTCTTAGTTTTCTTCCAAGGACGAGGAGTACAAATCTGAGCTTAAATTCTCTAAAAAAACCTATGAGCATGTATTTATTGCTAAATCTTTTCGAAACCATTCTAACATAAAAATATCTAATTTTGATCAAACATCTGTTTTGGCGATTGGAATACTGTGCTGGATTCTAACTGTGGGAAATTCATATGTTTTTATGGTGTTTTTTGCAAAAGCCTGAACATATTACTAGTTCGAGTAGAAGACTTATTAATAATATTTCTTACTAGTCGTGCTAGTTCAGATATAAACCCTCCAAAGTAATAACAAAGACGTTTAACAATATGGATCTGGGGATAACATATGGATGTTAGATACTGCTTCATTCCTTTATTTTCCACACAAATACAGGTAAAAAACTTGAATATTATGATACTTTAAGCGCAGGATTCCCACCAACTGCTATGTTCATTACAGCGAAAATTCTACATTCATTTCACAGCGTCCCTTGTCAGTTAGAGCTCACATTTTAACACTATTCCCTAACGGGTGTTAATAATATATACAACAGTTCAGAGTACTAAAGTTCATGTGTTTATAAAATGTTGGCTTCAAACTATATGATTGAGCACATAACTACAGATGAAACATTGACTTCCAACTATTTTTTTGTCATGGTAACCTCTAATATGAACACATGGTAACTTCACCGAACACAAGGTAACAAAATCTCAACAGGTTCTCTAATAAATTTTCATCAAAAATGATTGGTCACATCTTGTGGCACTTCAACTATTAGGAGTAAGCAATTCATATTTTGAATTAGTTTGATAAGTTTTGACCCCCACCTTAAAAATTATGATCTTCTATGGCGCAATGTAAAATTGTATTTGCATCAATAAACATATCAGTCCTATATATGAGCTTATATAACGAATTGTTGCTAATGCCCACAGGATTCTAGACACATTCTGCTACCAATTCAGACATATTTTCATCAATCAAAATGGAAACTAAAGAACAGAACTTATCCTATAGTGCAATGTTGTAAACTTAAAAAGAAGGCATCCAAAGAGTGTATATAAGTTGTACATATTGATCACATATCAGAGCTAGGATTTATGGCATAACCGATAAAAGTACTTCTAGAGGAACTTGACAAGTCTTACTATAGCATATCCTAGATAAGACACACACACACATATTATGTGCTCCTTGTAACCACCTAGCTAAATGAGTTAAGTCACAATCACAAGTGGATCAGGCATCAATATATGCTGAAATGTAAGGGCATAGGAGTATAGGGGTATTCATGTGTCTGCCTGGGTGTAAATGAAACATTAGGGCATTGATATATGTTGAAACATAGGAAGGGGTATTAATATATCTGACATACAGGGGTATTGGTGCATGTTGTAACACAGGAACTGGTATTAGTATATCTGAGACACAGGGGTATTGATGGATATGAAACACAGTGACATGGGTATTAGAATATGTTGAAGTACAGGGAGGGGTATTAGTTTATTTGAAACACAAGGGCATTGATGTATATTGATATATTATGAAACATAAGGGCTAATATGTGTGGTTAGACATGAACATTGCTGTAGTATGCTGAAATGCCAGGGCAAATCACTTCATAAAATGTAACTGCATGTATTGCATGTCAACACATATTTATCAACACACTTTACCCTGATGGTTTTCCTGATACAGAGCTACATGACATGTGTGACATATCCCCTTTGGAGGCTCTCTTTAAGCTCCAGTGGTTTAGGATTTATAGTATTCATGTTCTTCCATCATCATCCCTGACCTATTTTACTAGCTTAGTAATACTCTTCTTATGGCAATTTAGCCTTGCCCAAGTCGGTTTCTTTTACTTATCTTGATTTCTATTATGACCGCCTTGTACCAAAGAGAAAGCCACATGCTTTACCGACTCAATGTTTATGTCGGTAAAATTTGACCAATCAACGACAGCCCTGCAGCGTTAGCTCATTATTATGCACGGTCAAAAACAAGTACACTTTTTACTTTTCGCCGGGACTTTTCACGAACAAATCTTGCATGAATTCATCATGGAAATACAAATATTTTATCAAATAAATATCAATCAGAGTTTAGTGGATGCCGGAGCATCGATCGGTAACCGGAGGTGAGAAGATTTCAACAATAAACGTTGAAACGATCGCTGAATTCAAATGAACATGTAGGCTGAGATTCAATCACTGATCGACTACATGACCCGCTACATTGGACTCGGTCTTGCATTTTCATCGCGAAATCAGTTTTAAATCTATTGCATGATTTAATTTATATTAATGACTCTTACATTCCCTATGTACATTTAATTACATAATATATTGTAACTCTAAAGAAACGATCGATCAGATCATTGAATTTCAAATCGGGAATATTGCTTTGCTTATGCAGGTCAACCTGATGACGTTTTGATTGGTCAATCAGCCTGAAGTCACACGTCGTGTCCACGCGTATATCTGTTTATCAATAAGGTTTCGCGATACCCCTGATAGCATAGGTATTATGGAAATCTCGAAACCGTTGAATAACTCTGCATAATATCAGCGCAGGTGTATTGTACAAGGCGGTAATAATTCAAGATCAGATAAGTAAAAAATACCGACTTGGGCAAGGCTAATGGCAATTAAGAATTCATAAATACACTAAGAGCTATAACATGTTTTAAGAATTTTGGATTTTGATGTACAAACAATAGATAGGTATATATGCTGATGCTGTACAATAGTTGGGCTCTAAACCTATATATGCTGAGTGCCAAGGTCACCCCTTCAACATCATTATGGGGTTTGGCATGCTATTGATGCATATTTCTGGGTGAATGAAATGTAGTGAACATGAATGTGGTATTGCAATAGTACATTACCTTGCTTGTTGCAGTGGCTGTGCTATCCCGTGCTACTTGTTCATTTGTCACCTGAATAGTCAAAAACTCATTATCCACGAGAGGCCAAGCACCTTGTACTTTACACGTTTGATATTCTTCATTGAATGTCCTGAGATGAGGATCACCAAATAATCCACAATGTTTGTGTAGATTCTTACTCCTAGATCCAGGCCGGAATGAACAGACCTTACTGTTGGCTGGTCTCGGCCGAGGAGAGCCATATTTGGCTTCTGTATAAATTTGTCCTTGGACAGTACAGTTATTGTCTTTCATTTTGTTTTCCACAATTTTTTGTACACTATGGAATTGAATATCACCATAACATTCCTGTTTCATATTTCTTATACATTGGTAGTATGTTCTAAGTGTGACACATTTTATATGATTCTGGTTTGGCTCACCCAGTACCCCCTCTCCTAAAGTTTCTCTTGCCATCCAATATTTGAGCGAACAATCGTCAAGCCGGCAACTTTGAACTGGAAAATGGCAACAATGTTTTGATTTTAGCTACAAGATCACATCGAATCAAGTTTAATCGCTACAAATTGAGAACTTATAGAGAAAACAGTGGACAAAGTTGCTAAATTTGCTACAAATCGATTTGGGAGAAATCCAATATGGCCGACACAGATGGCCCAGTTATTCGAAAAACTATACTGGTGTTTTTGTTACGATTTATTTGGCAAAATTATTTGTAAGTATAGCCTACCTGTAGCTAGAAGTATTGTCGTAACGATCACCAGGGGTAGAAAGGAGGGGGGTCCCACAGTCGAGCTGTAGAGCGCCCTAACCCCCATAACAATCCATCGAGTTGTATTCGTTCTTAGTGGCTTCCTTTCAATGAATCTGAAACATGCAAATAGCAGCTTGCTTAGAGCTGTCAGACTAGTGACGTCATCAAAACAATTTTACAATTTTCCCCAATATTTTCGCATAGTCTGCGCCATGTAGTAAGAGCAAAGTTTTAATCTATTTCAAATGTCACAATGCAAAATGTATATATTATTTTGAGCTACATTTTTGTGTGGATATGGTGATTTGTGAATGTTTATGTTTTGATAATGGGCGGAGCTAAAAAGCGATATATTTCAAGATGAATGAGGTGGAAAAAACCGCCCTCTATAAATCAGGAAACAAACTATTAATATAATTCAAAGATACTAGCAGACATAAGTTTCTCCTAGAAATTAATGTGAATATCCTGAAGTGAAGCTAGAATGAAGCAACTACGTATACTTCTCCAATTAATTCTAGATCATATCATCTTCAATAACTAATTCAATATAACTGATCTTTTTCAAATATTTTAAAGTGATACATTGGTTGGAGAATTGTAAATGTTGTTTGCAAATGTCAGCCTTTATGTCTAATTCTTAGAACTTCATCTTCCAGAAACCAATTGGGGATTTTATTTATCTTTAATTTGCTTTTCATCATCTATCATACTACTCATGTGGTATCTATCTCAAGCAACTAATATTTTTCAAATATACCAGTAAAGCAAGCGGACAATCAATCCAACAAACAAACAAAAAACAATCGGTAAGTTGTCGTTCTGGTTGGCGTTTGATAATTTAATGAAGTATTATTGTGAGCAAAACAATCATGCCCACGAAGCAATCATTTAAATTGTTGTTAGAAATTCTTCACTTGGAATTATTTTTCGCAATTCATTCAAACTTTTCATAATTCATTTTAGTTCAGTTCGCAACGTCTCAAGCCCTGAGCTAGCAGGGCAGAGTGTTCACATTCATCGAGGTCACACCTGCACGCCGTTAGATGTGAACGGGTTGGAGTGGAGCTCGTAAAAAATGACAATTTGAAAGGAGAGTTGTGATGAATGAATGGAATAACATCGGCCTGAATAAAAAGCTGAAGAGAGAAAGTAATGACGCTTCAAATCTTTTCTTTTCTTCACAGTGTGAAACTTGTGATGCATTTAGCGATACCATACATATAGCTATTAAATATGAACAGGAGGTGCTAAATTTTAATATGAATTAAAAGTTGAAATCATTAAATTCTGCGGTTGAAAGTTCAACTTAAACGTGAATATTTTGAAATTACGAAGAACTTTGGCAGTAATATTACCGAAGCAAGAGATAAGAATCAGTAGATATCATATGTGATTACTTCCCTATATTCATTTAAGATCAATTTTTCATCTAGTTAAAAAAGATATGTCATTATATTAAAGTGTTGGTATAATTAGGATCTTTGAATGAAGCTGGCATTGACTTTTTTCTTTTTACATTTGAACTTTTCAATATCATAGCAGCTAACACAAAATCTTGTTTTGTATGACTAGATCGCACCATGCATTTTTGCCAAATCAATCGTGTTTTTCGAAAGGTATAAACATGGGTGTATGTACACTTCGTGACTCTGTGTAGCAACGATAAATCCTTCAGCAATGATCCAATGTATCGAGAATCAGGTGCTGATCGTCATAAACAGCCCAACCAAACTGTAAATCGTACTCTACTTTGCTGAAAAGTTTGGGGTGTTTCCCTGTTGTTCTCTTTGGGAGAAATATGATTCATGTTTATATCTCCTAGCTATTTTCTACTTGACCAAACTACAAATAAGCATATAAAAACAAATATACAAACAAACACGGGCTGACAACAAACAGAAAAACGAAACGTAAACAAATGAACTTAAAAAACAAATCAGGAAAATACAGCCATGTTTTACCTCGTGTAATAATAAATAGAAAGGTGTTTTTATCCCGGGTTTTTATCATTATTCATTTAACAACATTTTGTTATGTAGGTTAATCTATTATTGAATTCATCAGCGAATGGAGCTAAACAGTAAAATGGTATCAAACGCCTATTTATTAACAGTTGTTCTATTTCTGATAATCAATGATTTAACAACAAAATTGAGACTGGAATCGATCCCCTTCATAAGAATGTTCTCAGTGCTACTTGAAAATAGCTTCGAGTGTTGTCTTTACAGCGAAGATCAATCAGTTAACACCTCAGATATGCAACTTGTCAATCTTTTCAATATTGTAATCTAAGTCACTCTATGCATCACTGCTTTTACTGAAGAGAGCCATGTTGTATGACAGTAGTATTGTCCAAGCTCTGTTAAATATGTGAACCTCTAAATGTGAGCAAAGGACAAAAGTTCCAAAAACTTACTGCTTACTCAGAAGGATTTGATTATAAAACTGTGGATAGTAGTAATAAGGGATGTTTGGGTGTTGGTAGTTAATTGTTTGCCAAGTAAGTGAGTAATTACCAAATTATTTGTAATGTTTACGTGAACGCAGCGTCTGCTTTTCATCCTAAAGATACAGCGCGTAGTGTGTCCCAAAATGCATCATCGAGGTCACATGTATTGAGAGAACCAATCAAGTAAGGACCTGACATATTATGACAACAATAAGCGGGAATGATATATGTGGTTCTCCAAACATCCTCCGTACACAGAAGAGAGACGAGTGATCAACAGAATCAGTCGCTCGGCAGGTCAGAGAAATGGGCGGGCCACCTCGCACTGACCACCCGAGCCATGAAAATCTAAACCATGGTTTGTTGTTACCGAATAAGTGGACAGCTGTGACTCGTATGGTTATGGGACAGGCATTGGAAAATCTTTTCTGAAAATATATGATTGCAGTTTGGATCTGTTGGTTTTATTGCTTCATTTGCTTGTTCAGTGTGGAGAAACGTGTCAATCTTATTGCTACGTTGAACTCCGGAGGTTCTACAAAGTCCTATGTCAACATGCTGTGTTTGAATTGACCCATTGATTTTCTTCAATATTCTCAATTAAATGAATTGGAGTAAACATTTGGCGTCAATTTCACACCACGCATGCGATTACTCCTGTCTCATTCGAATTGTTTCCAAAGCTGTTTCATTGCCGCACAATCGAACTGATTACTGGCAACCACAATCTTGTTATCCATCCAGTTAAACATTGTGTAAATGTGCAAATACTTGCATGATATTGTCTCTGACATTGGTCCCGGGGGGGGGGGGGGGGGCATTGGTCCCCACAGTAGCTTTACGCTTGGGAAGGATTTCCTTAGACATCCGATTGTATTGTATAATTCTGGGGAGTAACCTCTTGTGTTTTGACCGTGGAAAAATAGAATGATGGATAAGTTCGTTTGTTGATCGTTTGTCAAGTTTACGACAACAAGTGTGAAAAACATCTCTGTTCCCACTCTTAACTGCTTAGGGCCGCTAGTATGCATCATGAGAATGCACGACCTTCCATGAGTTCATTTCTAGAAACGTATCTAGTTAAAAAGCAGAGAGATGTGATGATTATCAGAATGGTTTGCTGTGTATGACATCGTAGCCAAACTAAAACCGGGGGAACAAACTCCCGGGACCAAACTGGTACAAAATTATTCGAATTTGGGTTTTGCAACAAAACTAATGAGAGAATTCCGAATATTTGAACATGCGAAGTTAAGTTTAGTTAAAGTCAAAATTTTTATTGCACTTCAAACAATATTCTTCCAACCATTGTGCCTTATTTCTGAATATTAGAATAGGTTGCCACTAAATATGGAAATAGTTCAGATCATTTTCCAATAGCTTTCCATTATAAGTATCGGGGTGAAAAGATGCACGTTAAGTTATGGTATTGTGCTTAATGTGTTATATGGTGTCCAGAACAAAAAGGGATACACATGAAAGTAATCTGAGCATCTTTTGTCTTGTGAAGGGCAATAACCTCGATGACAACGAAAAAGCAACATTATTGACAAAAAGTTACGGTTGTTGCATCGCTTCAATAACGAAAAATGGGAAAGATCCAAGCGAATATTATTATCAGTAGTCTATCCTAGATGTAATAATGGTGACCCAGTTTCAAATGTGATCTTTCGTCGACAAGTAAAAAGTTGATGAAAACAACATGAGAAAAATAGAGCTGCGTTTAACGAGATTAACAGCTTTGGTGCGAAGTAATTAATCCCTGGCCTTTTACAAGCAGGCGAACATGCTTTCACATTGGCTTTGAGAAATGAGGAATGTGTCTAGAAAACATCGAAGCGGCTATGATTGTACAGAAGCAAGGGATGCTCCATTTGTAGCCGCCCATCTTCGAATTAGCCGCCAGGAAGTAGAAAAGAATAGGGCGTACCAACAGGTAACTAGTGACACAGATTAATTACATGTACCTCAGATGTACGGTGACCAATCACACATAGACCATAGACGCCCATATGCTAAGTTTAACAACAATCTTCGGAGTTGCACAACCGATTACAACACCAAATGTTGCAATATTACAACATTAAGGTTGAGATATCAAAAAGGTAGCCCCGATATAATATTAAGGTTATTTCATCACAATCCAAAGTTGAACTATCACATTAGCAAATTTGATTAGGAAGCAGCAATGTTTTACCAAGGTTGAACTGTCACAGTATTAAGTCGAACCATCACAATATCAACGTTGACATTTTTGAATACCAAATTTTTTAATACCAAATTACAATATTATCCTACAATACCAAAGTTGAACTATCCCAATTAATCAAAGTTGATTTTTTGAATACCAAATTACAATATTAGCCTACAATACCAAAGTTGAACTATCCAAATTAATCAAAGTTGAATTTTTGAATACCAAATTACAATATTAGCCTACAATACCAAAGTTGAACTATCCAAATTCATCAAAATTGAAATTTTGAATACCAAATTACAATATTAGCCTACAATACCAAAGTTGAACTATCCAAATTAATCAAAGTTGAATTTTTGAATACCAAATTACAACATTAGCCTACAATACCAAAGTTGAACTATCCCAATTAATCAAAGTTGAATTTTTGAATACTAGATTACAATATTAGCCTACAATACCAAAGTTGAACTATCCAAATTCATCAAAATTGAAATTTTTGAATACCAAAGTTGAACTATCGGAATCGAAGTACACCACCGTTCAATGGTTTAGCTGTCACATAACTAAAGTTAAAAGATCACAAGATCATATCGAACTTTCACAACATCAGAGTTGAACTATCACAAGATCATAGTATCACAATATCAGAGTTGATCTATCGCAATATAAGACTTGAACTATAACAACACCAAGGCAAGCCGCTATAACATGACAAACATAATGTCATGAGGTATTGGAGGAACTCCTTATATAGTAAATGTTCATTCCCATGTAGAGTGGGTGGAAGGGAACAGATGGAAACGCTCCTGTCAGCGATAGGGCCTTTCATGATTGGGTCGGGACAACAAATTGTCTCCATATCAAATAAATACACAACTCGTAAAATAAGTCCACCCAGGCTTTATTGTCCCCTTACAAGTGTAAGTGTTATACCAGGGAGACCCGCTTCCACGTTAGAATCGTTACCTATACTACGATTATATTTCATTTATTAGATACAGACAATTTATTTTACCACATAAATTTTAAGAAAGTTTATAGGAAATTCATATTGTATCACATTTTCACTTTGTTGTTTATAGACGATTACCTTTTTGAAGCTATGAAAGCGTGAAAAGCCACCCCATTTACCGTGAACTATCGAAAATTAATGATATGGTTTGAAATATGATGGTTCACAACAAAACCAGTATCTTGTCACCATAAGATGATCGATCAGCGCCCCCTTTATGTGATAATGCTATCGTAATTTTAAAATTCACCTCGAAAATGGTTGTTATAAAAATTTCCTCTCCCACATGTACACGGACAAGGATAATGAAATGGTTCCGATGATGTAGGCAAACGATGGGACGATAAAGACACTGGAACGATTGCTAGGTCACTGGATTCAAAATAATTTTGCGATAGTAAAACCTAGGATGCCAGCGATTTTAGTTAACCGTGTTCCAACTTTAAATACGTAGTATCTATACGAGTAAAGGTTGGCCCATTCATTGGAGGTGTTAACCGTTAAATTGTTATTATATTTTACAATCCAGCCGCTTTAAAACGCCATTCCCCTCACACATACACAACTAAATGTGATGCTTTAAACTATTCTCAACTGTTTAATAAAATTTGGCCGAGTTGCCCGATGAATTGAACTGTAGAACACAAATGTATGACATTTTCAGCTCAATAGTTTGTGAATAAGAAAGGGAACATGGTTGTAAGAAAATTCCAATATTCATATGTGATATTGCGTTTATATGGGTAACAATTAGAAATGGATCGAACTTGTGTCAATAGCTCGTTCACAATAAAGTGGCGTAGGCAAATATCCCCTTCGACCCCTTTGTGAAGTAGAAGTAGGCAATCCTCTCAAGTCTCCACTTAGCTGACAGTCACAGGAACTTTCAGTTCCAATACAATTCAATTAAAGTACGGCACACATCCTTTCGATATCCTCATTTTGAGAACGTCCCTACCGAAACCATTATTCACTTCTTTACAGGGAATGTATTTAATGATTCATGCGGATAAGATGTTTCTATCCCAAACCTTTTAGGATAAGGGATGCTTTTTTGTTAGGAAATATGTCATGAAATATAAAAATTATTTCAAGACTATATTTTGAGCAGGTCATATGGCTAACAGGTTTCGCGTACGTTATGGACGGATCACTGGTGTAGTTTTAAACATAGGGCAATGGATGGATTTCAAACTAAACAAATTCTTGTTTTGATAGCTCGGTCACATTCGATTTTGTCGAAGTTCACGTTAATTTAAAACTGCAGCAATGTGCAGCGTTTGCGTCCCGTGGAGGACCTTGTTTTGTCTCTATATACAGCGTTCTACTCCGCTGAAGTTTCTTACACATTTATAGAATTAATTGCTACCGCATGCCGTTCCTTTCATATGAAATATTGGTCTAGGCTACATTTAGCCCGTTAAATAAAGTAAAGGTGTTAGAAAAAGTTAAACGATATTTACGAAATTAAACGCAGCACCCGGCGTTGTGATAGGAATGATATACGAGCAGTTAGCATCCTTACCTGTTACGTTGCATTGCGTATAACTCTCAATTCCGACATTGGAGGAGGTTGTATTCCCCGACGTAATCCAGCTAATGTGTTTGATATTAACGTTCCACGTTCTTTTGCGTTTGATATTTTCCTTAGAATGGTTGGCTGATGGTGGTTATACCTCTATTATCTGAATAATCTATATAGCCACTTGGTATTGTAAGGCATAAGAACAATTTCCAATAGCCGACAAGTTTTCATTTCAATTGCCAATACAAGATAAACAAACTCAAACGCCCGGGCAAGAAATGTATACAAATCGTCACGTTTGTCGTAAGTGAAAGCCTTTTATATCCAAAAGTATGAGAAAAACTTGTTGTATGGGCCACGATCTGTTCTATGTTTGTGTAACAATCCTGTGTTCAGTGTTTTCGATCGTGCTGATCCCTCAGTCAACAGTGTGAATGTGACGTTGTGATTAAGGCCGGTTCTTGACGTGGTCTCTGAATCCTCAGCTCATCTATTTAACCATCCCTCAAACACCTGCGTTTACAGGGGTCTTAACTAGATACATATGTCTTTTTATAACATTAAAACACGACTTTTGAGCATAGATTTGCTATTTCTCGCTCGTAATAGCATTACCATATGTCGAGGACATGGTTACGCCGGTTAAAGTATGAGGCCGTAGATTTACCCAATGTAAAAACCAGAGCTTGTACACTAATCCTACTTCATCTTATTTCATCAAATAAATCCCCATTGAGGACGGACAGCTTTTGGCACATATTTCTAAGCCACCACTTAAAAAGGCTCGAAAATCGCAGCGTTTATATGTAAGTCTGTTTTGAGCGTTCAATACTCCGTTTGAATCAACAGTTTTGATTGTCCAAATTGAACGCTAAATTGCCTCTACCCAGCTGGACGGTGAACAACGTTGTCCATTCCATAATAACACAATTATTTCATATGCTATCAACTAAGCTTTTGCCAAAGTCAATGTCAAATGCATCAAGATTTGCTAACAAGTGTATTTGTGATATCAAATTACTTTGTAATAACGTCTACTTGGTCTCGAAATGATATTTCAACGATTCCCTTCCGAGCAAGCTCAACAAGCTTGCCTAAAATTGAATTGAGCGTAAATAACTTATTTTGACAAATATAATGTAATGGTAACACATTTGTTGAGCAGCAGTAACATTCAATCTGAAGGTGTGAACTTGGTTGCAAAGCTATTAGTTGTGTTTAATTCTTTAGTCCCATTTATGTTTTTACTTCGTCCGGATATATGGGAGAAGCTGGAGAGGGGATTGGTAATCGGAGATGCAAGGAGGGAGGGTGGCTGTGGAGGTGTTTTTTCAACTGGGCATTTGAGAACAATCTCCCTTCATACATACTTTCATACAATTAGAACGTTTATAACTTTTATGGTAAAGACAATAGTTCTGATTTTTGTGAAATGCCTAATTTTCCATATTTATGAGTAGCGGTGTATATTGGTACATAAATCTATGAAAAATATCAACGTTTTGCACATAAGAAAACCCACAATATTCCATATCATGCCTCTTGTGAAAAGGGTGTCCCAAACAAATTGTACCCAAAATGAGCGAAATAACTGTTTTTCCTTCATCGGGAAAACTTTTAACTAAAATCCATTTTTGTAAATAACAGTTCAAAATTCATAAAAAGTAAGTTACATATCTTGAGAAAGTCATTTTCGATGACATGCTCTAAATGATCTCCATCACAATCGATACAAAATTGAATGCAATTCCAAACTTGAGAAATGGCTGATGGTACTAAACAATGAAGCTACTATAACTAACCTAAGTAGAGTTTACTTAATAAAAGTTTCAGATATTCACGGTAGTTAAATTGTATGTCAGATGTCTAACTCTTTTACTCCTACCCTAGATATCCACCAATCCGACCATCAACCCCAGATCCGACCAACAACCCCAGATATCCACCAATCCGACCATCAATCCCAGATATCCACCAATCCGACCAACAACCCCAGACATCCACCAATCCGACCATCAATCCCAGATATCCACCAATCCGACCATCAATCCCAGATATCCACCATTCCGACCATCAATCCCAGATATCCACCAATCCGACCATCAATCTCAGATATCAACCAATCCTACCATCGACCCCAGACATTCACCAATCCGACCATCAACCCCAGATCCGACCAACAACCCCAGATATCCACCAATCCGACCATCGACCCCAGGTATCTGAAAAGTGTGTTAAAAATCAAGAACAAAGGGCTGATGTCAGCTGTCAAGAAAAGAAACAAAAAGGTATGACACAAAATCATTCCACAAGGTAGCCAAACCAAAAAGTTATAAACTGTACAACCTGATGCCCTCTTACACATTATCTGTACAAAACTATACAGGGTGTTCATGAAGTGTCTTTACTATTACAAGTCTGTGAAAAGTATAGAGACTTTATGGACATCCCTGTTTGTATAACTCGTCGATTGCATGCTCGCCTTAAACCTTTAGGAAACAGACAGGTCCGTAGCCAGGATTTGCCAAGGGGGGGTTCAATTTTCAAAAATTTCCAGGGGGGTTCACATTTGACAATTTTGGCCCAAATTACGCTAAAATCACTTGAGAAGTGCTCAAAATGGTCAAAAACTGCATGATTTTGAAAGAATTTTTGCCCAGGGGGGGGGGGGGGTTCGCCCGAACCCTGCGAACCCCCCCTGGCTACGGGCCTGACAGCAATCCATTTGTGATGTATTTCACAATCAAAAAGCATTGATTCTTGTTCTTAGACCAACCAGTATTACAATCAACAGCTTCAATCAACAATGAAATCAACAGCAATCAGCAATAAAATGAACAACACAAATAGCAATGAAATCAATAGCAATCAGCAATGAAATCAATAGCAATCAGCAATGAAATCAACAGCAATCAGCAATGAAATCAATAGCAATCAGCAATGAAATCAATAGCAATCAGCAATGAAATCAATAGCAATCAGCAATGAAATCAATAGCAATCAGCAATGAAATGAACAACACAAATAGCAAAACACAAAATAACCAGACTCTCAACAATCTTTCCGCCAAGAATCAGTATCTTGCTTTCAAAATTATGTTAAATTGAAATGCTTGTTATTTATGTCAATGTACGCTTGGGTAGTTCTAAACCAGTCGTGCATCGTTTCAACAAGTTCAACGTGGGTGAACATCCTCACCCTCACCTGAGACTAACATAAAACCCTCACTGACTGGAGAGACCATGCATATTGTTAACCTATGTCCAGTTCTGCAGTTTAGAGCTTATATAATTTGCGATAGTACCCTGCATATAGTATTTGTGTTTTTTCTGTAGGAATATTTCTAAAATGGAGAAATTCTCAAACAATACATTTTCACGAAATGTCATTTAGACAATATAGTCTATACAACAGCATTTATCTGATAAAAACAACACATTTTCAAATGATATGAAGATGCTCCTAAATAAACAACAAAATATAGAATGACAACTAAGAGCAGATGGAGACTGAGGTAGATGCAATCAGATCACAATCTGAGCTACGAACAAATTGTTGACCGCGATCGATATGATGCGTCAGGGGATCGTCTTCCCACATTTACCACAGTTCCAAACTATATCTCCTTCCTAAACATATCACACAAAATAAACATAATTCATAAATTAAACGCGTTGAAAAGATTTGAAATAGAATAATGCGCTCTTGTAGGCACAAAGGTTTTCAAATGACAGCATTTTCGCGTAAATGAAAACTTCATTGAAATATTGAACGTGGTGTGAATGTGTTTTGAAATGTAACTTATGCGGTGTTTCTTCAAAATAGGGGTCAACAAAAGGGTCACATGTTTTCACCGGGATACAGAGGGGATGCTATTGAAACGAGTCTCCCGCCCTCGCGCACAATGCTGGCCACTTGAGAGCGCAGTACATAGAGCACGAAGCAAGACGCTTGGGGCAAAGTTGGAACAAAACTATTTAATATATTATATGTTTCAGTATGCCCGTCATGTCCCACTCTCACAAAGGCTTAAAGTAGCGTTCCCTACAATAAAAGGGAGTTTAAGCTTGCATATAAAATCGAAACGCCAACCAATACGTATGACCAATCGCCCATACAAATGCATCGCTTTGAATATTTTCCGTTCACGTTTAAGTTGTGAAAAACATTGCAAGCTTAAACTTCCTAATGAAGCTACAGTCGTATGATTATGCAATAGTAATTTTAGTTTATGTATAACTATTAATTAAATTTGTTTTTTTCAAAAAGTTTTTTATTTTAAACTTGACCAAGGCTTAGGCTCCGCAAACTTTTGAACTCGGTAAATATCAGAATCAAACTGACAATTTCAAGAATCCACATACATTGAGCCTGAATACAACATGGGAATCAGACTTTAACGATTTCAGTACGATCTGACAAAGGACTTTGTATGGACTTTTTCAAAACTAAGGTGGGTCAATAGACATTAGGCGACATCTATTAAAAGCGTGGTGTTCTTAAAAGTCAGTCTCGTTGATTCCTTTGGTCCATTCGGATCTTAAACCGGGATTTTCGCTAATACACACACTGGACGTTTATTTCGAACTGGGGTTAGTTATGGAAGCCCTTTAAAAGAACGCCCACGGGCCTTTATAAAGAGGGAAATACTGATTTTCCAAGAAGATGAGCGTTTACTATGAGGAATTTTTTTCCGAGCCGGCCAGATTTTAAAATTGATTCCTTGACTTCGTAAATCATAATCACGCAATATGCCATCGATATATTAGTGTGCATTTATATTGCTTATTCATTTCAAGTTTACTGCATTTCTCTATGTTTGCTTTATACTCCTTTTATTTGTTTGATTGGTTCGTGTGTTTATTTTCTTCACTTCCGCCAACATGAAAGGAGACGTTCGTATACAATCGAGGAAAATTAGCACTTATCCACCGTGTCGATAAAGCGGCCTAGTATACACCAATGGGACAAGTTGAGACCTCCATAGATTTAACATTGCGTGGAACCTCGTGGGTCTTCTTGGGATTTTGCCCCATTGAGTCCGTGCGGCTCCATGGGACTCCGTCGGATTTTGTCTCATCTTGCCCCGTCGAGTCCCATGAGATCCCATGTGGGACTCGGTTGGGTTCGATTGGGCAAGTAGTGTGGGATTCGAAGGGGCAGGGTGGGACTCGATGGGGCAAGTGGGATTTTACCCCATTGATACATAAACTGGGCTTAATAATCCAAGTCAAACAAGTAAAGAACTAAATGTTCCTTGAATCGGGAAGTGGATACAAAAATCAAAAGATTTGTTAACTGAGACCGACAAAGGGCGCGCACAGAAGCCAAGGTGTGGGCAGAAAATGCAAAGTTCTAGTCTTGCTTCAAGACTGACTCCCTCCACCCCTGATCTACTTCAATAACAGGCTTGGTTTCATATTTGATATTTTGAGAAGAGAAAAGGCAAATATCGCAACGTATAATAAAATGATCCGCAAAGAGTAGTAAGGCGACAGCAAAGCGTTTTTTGATATTTTAGGTTTAACAGTATCATGTTTTTCATTTACCAAAGCAAAATAGGTATGGAATGGGAAATAACCATTTAGAACATTTTAGTTGCTTTGAGGCAATTTAAATGCATAAGGATCCTTTACTTGCAGATCTCTCCCACTGGACGTTTATTTAGATGCACTCCAAACACTCAATAAGAACGCCCATATTATGAGTCAAAGTTTCGATATCTAACGGATGGATATCTTGGTGGAGGAGGTGTGTCTGTTTTTTGTCCCAGTTTATTTTCAATGCGCATGTTTGAAAGATTGGGCCTAAATTTTCAAAACCATATTTTGATCCTCTTCAGTATCAAGGTTTTAGAAGAGAACGATATTGATATTAGTCTACGATCTCGTGTTCAAATGAAGACGTTCAACGTTTGGACAGAATCCCTTGACAGTACTTATGTGAAATCACGTGAAGAAAAATTATTGCTAATCATGTTAATGAATCTGTTGTCACCATGACAACACTATGTTCCTGCTCTTCAAATTGATGCAAAATTGATGCTAAAAGAGAACATTATGTAAATCATAGGCAAGCAAGTGAGATGTTTGACTCCCAAGAGCGTAATAACAAGCGAGAAACACTCTTAATGCTACCATATTTAACGAACATCTCTTATTAAAACAGAGTTACACAGATACGAAGACAAAGGAAAGATGTGAGTGGAATATTGAAGCAAATTACCAGTCCAAAGTAGATCATCATTTACAGTGTTTCTGAAATGAAAAAATATATTCCTCTTGAGGCAGAATCAGATCTAAAAGCATCTTCAACATGACCTTGTTGAAAATGTTTCAATTCCTTTTTAGGTCTATTTTCTAAAAATACCCAAAGTGTAAACATTATTTGAGGAAAAACTATAGACTTTTACAATAATGCATTCATTTGTTTTTAAAGGCCCACTTGGCATATTTTCAAAGTTTTTGGGCAAAATAAAGACTTCCATTTGAATTTCATAGTATGTCCAATGTATTGATAAGATCCTTATCTTTCATTTGACAACAACAACAGCTCAAACGGACCACATCAAAGCTTATAATAAATTATTAAAAAATATTTCCGATCGGTCAAGCTTTATATATAAAGTTTTTATCAATGTCATTGAAAGATGGCAAAGTTGTTTGCATTACATTCATTTTTATAGAAGTGTCGCCATTTTTTAAATCAACAGTAATTTAAAAATGCACTTTTTTAACATGTGCATGCATGCCTAATGATCTCTGAACTTCAAATGATTTTTTCTATGCAAGTTATTTTTTCTTGGTTCAATATTAAAGCAAATCAAACTTTGTGTCATATTTGAGCGAGTGTGTGAGTAACATGTTTCAATGATTTTTTTCTTCTAAATTAAGTATAAAGGGCCTTTAAGTATGGCTACCATTTTTATTTTGGGAGAATTTAAACATTTCCCCTATTCCCCTGTTTTCTCCTAAAATTCCCACACCCCATCATTGTTCGTCCTCGCACAGAATACTATGAACACTATAATACACAACAAATAAAAGTCAAGTGTCTCTACTGCGTGTTTCATATTTAACGACTGTCTTTACTTGTGCTCCCCTCTATTAGTATTCTTCAGATCTCTCACCTTTCTGCTTCTTGTCTGCAGAGTTCATGAGGATGGGAGCACAATACGAAGTCCCTCAATTAAATGTCTAGATTTCCTTCCCTTCGTATCCGTCTTGGAGTCATGCCTTTTTTATACATCCATGACGTGTTGCATTCTCCCACGAGTTTCCCCAAGACTCATTGATTATCTCCACTTGGCCATCATTATACTGAGCTGATTTCGTGATAGACTCGATAGACCCGTGGTAGACCTTACAGCATTAACAGCCCCATAGCCAACTTTTGCCAAGGGAGGGAATCACCTTTTTAAAAATTCCAGAGGGCCATGTTTAACAACTTTTTCCTAGAATGGCCAAAATTACTTGAAAACTGCGCAGAATGGTGAAAACTGCATGATTTTGAAAAAGTTTTTGTCCAATAGAGGGGGGGGATGCTGGCCTGGAGTAATTTCTCTTAACTCTTCCTTTGTATTGTCTAGATCTCTGGGATTCAGGGCAATCCGGATATACATTTACTTGTACTCACAGAGGGCAAGTATACAGGTTTTTACCAATACTTTTATCTAAGCCATAATTCAAATGGGCGGACGGATGGACAAACTGACGCGTTCTCTATATCCCCACTCACTTCGTTCGATGGTATAATTATCGAGAAATTTTAATATGAGAATACGAGCTAATTGCATAAGATATCCCTTTTACACACATTCACCACAACTCGCCATTGATTAAATCATAATCGGATAAAAGGAATGAAAATTGCATTGTCAAATAAACCGTGAAATATGGGAGATTTGCTCTTCGTTGGAACGATAAATCAAGATAGTATCGTCGAATTACATGACTAAAATTCTACAACTTCAATTTATAAACTCTGATCTACAATTGGAAGAATGTTGAAAGCTTTGATATGCAATATATGTCAATAGAGGAGTTTCTATATAGCTTTGAAATCTCGCTAGTTCTCGTTTTTTCGTGAGATTTTATGAGATTTGCACATTAAACCTCTAGTCACCCACCTTTTCTTCTTTTTGATAGCATATTTGAATTCAGTGAAACGTTTTCGACAATATAACTTTGATTTGTACAGTTATGCCATTTTCCATGACTTTTACAACTTTTCTAAAAGGAGCACGTATGTTATCGCAAACAATTTCAAACGATTCTAACTTGAATTATGAATATTTTCTGATCATGAACATGGGTGTATCTTTTAGATCCATTCATTATCTTCAAGAAAAGTATTATATAATGATAATTTAGTTAATCAGACCTAAGTGATATTGAAGGGGCAATGGACCAATCAACATACTTTTTCAAAAATGTTGACCTAATTTTCACAAAAAATGCAACCTATTATTATATTGTTGAATACATAATTAGCTTTGAGACATGTTCGATTTCCTAAAAGGAAAATTTGATTGCTCCTGGGACTTTAAAGATATTCAATTTGGATGACCAAAATGAACTGAAACCAATGGATAGCACGAGATTTTTCAATGGAGAAATAAGATGGGGAACACTTATCTTAATCCAATTAAGTTTTTCTTTCAAGAACTATTTGATACATCAAAATAAAGAATAGTAATGCATTAAACATTGTAAAAAATGATTGCATTTTTGGTGAAAATGGGGTCAACATCTTTGAAAAAGTGTGTTGATGGGTTAATTGCTAGTTAAATATCTCCGAGTTTGTTTGAATTTATTATTACTTTGCATAATTTTCTTTGAGATAATGAATTGATCTAAAAGATAAACTTGTCTTCATTGTCAGAAAATAGTCATAATCCAAAATATAACCTTCTGAAATTGTTTGCGATAACCCACATGCTCCTTTGGGCCAAATCTCCATTGATGCTATGCTAAATTTCTTGGATTATTCGTTCGTCAACCAAAATTAGCCACAGTATGTACATTAACAGGGACATCCCATAGTATGGCATTTGAGTCAGATTCAACCGACACTTTTTGATAAATCATGAAATTCAGTGATTATTGCAATTTTACAACATGGGAGTCAATAGCAGTCTGGCCTACCCTTTGCATTCATTCGACTTCTTTTAAGAGAGTTTCGTCTAGTTTATAACTAGATTCTGCGCGCAGGGTAAGTCTGGCCCAACCAAAACAAAGAAACACAAGGGTGACATCTATTTTATCAGCTTTATTCAGCTATATAGGAACTACCTTAATGTTTTATAAGAATTTATTCCTACTGTAGAGACATCTATCTGTGATATGCTGTAATAATATATACATGTTGAGCCCAAAAAAACATTTTTAATAATGCTTTATTTTGGAAATATTATTTTTTTGATGGAGATGCAGAAACCAATTCTGCGAATGTTCCTGAAATGGGATTAATAAATCTCCAGGGGTGACTGAATAAGGTAAACAGACATTATGGGTCTAAAAAACAGTCGTCGGCATTATATATTTGGTATATCATATTATATTTGAAGCAGTACCAGATAACAGTACGTAGTACCATCTAACAAAATACAGAAGTGTCAAAAGACAAATAAATATGAAGAAAAACTGATTCCTTCAAATCCGCTATAGGTGCAATTTACTTAACTAACGCACTCGATCCTCCACTCACTTAAAGTGATGACTACGTTAGCACCGGTTTTCTATAAATAATATGTTTTCTGTAAATAACATATTTCTGGCTTTTTGTTTTAGTTTAGAAGGGGTAAACAGATTTTTATGTGTAAATGTCCTACTTAGTATTGCCTCAGGTATTGCATGCCAATAACAGATTTTTAAGTAGGTCTACACATGTTTTTAATAATTAATAAGAATATTGATAGATGTTCTATAGTGTATGTGCAGTCTGTTTATGCCTCTTCTTCCATTTATTTCATTTTACTCGAACTCTTATTTGGAGCGTTTTCTGTCAAGAATGTGATCAGTTCAATACTAGTGGCGACACCTGCGATGGAGTGCCCAGATGTACCCGGTGTGCCCTTATGGATAACCACAAAGCTATCTAGGTCCAACATTGCAGATACCTCTCCCAAAGTCGAGTCAACGGTTGCCTGTAATAAAATTCAAATAGTCATGATTTTTATTAGGGACTAATCCTGAGAGTGTACATGATCACATGCTAGCACGTAGTCGTAATTTCTTATTTCGATTTTGACAGTTACTATAGAACATTGATTCTGATCGCCCTCTGTATATACCTGTTTAAAGCGTCCATACAGCACCTTAGACACCTGGTCATCTTTGGTCAGATTTCCTTTCTTGAGCTGTGCCAACAACAGAGCAAGAGTTACCATGCCTTGCACTTGCCTATATAAAGAAAACACTAGATATAAGTCGTGTGTACTTTTGACCCGGGACTTCTGATCTGTCACCCGTGTTTCAAAAAATAAGGCTGTATTTATATATTATCAACTCAGTGCACGTCCTGTCCAACGATTTCTTTGAAGGTGAAGCACAAGGTTATCTATACCTTCATCAAAACCAGTTTCAAATTTCTTAATCTCTTTTGGTATTTCTTTTCCTGTTTTATCTGACAAGTGTCACATCTTACCCATCATCTCCAATGATCAAGGCCTGATCGTTGCCTGCAGTCTGATTTCTTAGGAGGGTAAGCATGTCAGATACTTTCTCAGTTGGCGTGATCAAATTGGGAGCAACTAGGCTCAGCTCAGTCACCTTCTTGCCATACCACCTTGCAAATAACATTTGTCATAAGCATATCATACTCTATATTTGCATCGTATAGTGTGGATATATAAAGAGAAGCTAGAATTCTTGATGAAAAACAATTTCTTCTTGTGTGCGATGGCTATAAAAAATGTAGATTTGAATTTTTTAATAAACTAAGTTTTATTGACACATTTGATAATATGTCGGATGAAGAAAAATATAACTTTTTAATGACTTCTGATGATTTTGAAATTGTTAACGAATTGATACATTTTATAAATAAACTGTTTAATCGGCGTCGGGAGCTATTTGAAAAAGGAAAAAATTAGATTGTATGAAATTATTTGTGAAACAATGCATGTTTCTTTTTTTTTAACTGTATAATTATATGTAAATGTCTTGTAATTGATTTTGTGAGGAAACCAAGTGTTTGGTTTGAAACACAATAAAATCTTGAATCTTGAATCTAAATAATCAGCCATATTTTTGCCGATATAGTCTCCCTCGAAAGTATAAATACTCGATCTGGTATATTTTCTTTTTAACTTATCACTAAACATAAATTGTTTCATTATCCAACTTTTGTCCAAAGCTTTATTGGTGAAATCATACACGGTAGCTATGGTGATTGCCGGTAGCTATGGTGATTGCTTACCATTGTTTTGATTCATCAAGAGTGTCTTCCATATATTTAAAATCATTCATCCAGTCATCACTAAGGAACTTTGTCCTAAAATACAAACAGACAATGGTTAATCATGTAACCTTTTGCAAGAAACGTTATTGTATTATTATGGAGACTCACCTTTAGTAGTACGAGATATAAGAAACATTTTGGTGCAATAGTTAAGTTGATTTGTTATTAGGGAGCAGAATAAAAACAATGAATCCAAGTTTGAACTGCGATAAAATTGTCATGAGAATATGCAAAATTAAAACTTCTTCTAATAAAAAAACACAAAATATATGGTTCAGCTACACGTCACTTGGTACCTCGCACTGGCATCAACCCCTTATCAAATATATCCCATCATATACAAATGCATGGAATTAAATCAATTTAAAAATGTTAAAAAACTAACTTGGTTTGACCTACTTTTGATCTCATTTGACCTACTTTTGGAAATATCAATAAAGAGTTATTTGAATTGTCTTTCATATGATACCTTGTACAAGTTGTATTTTATCGTTTTTTACTTATGAACATGATGTTGTCAGGTTTATATAACGATATCTGTATGCAAACAGTAATGAATCGTGAACACAGCATGGAATTAAAAACCAATATGTTCACAAGAATAAAAGTTTTTAATGTTCAAATGTTCAGATGTTGTTTATATGGATAAACGGTGACAAAGTAAGTCATTTTTTCTTTCCCAAAAATTGGTTCTTCATCTCTAACTTGATACTTGCAAATACGTTTTCGGTCCTAGTGCAAGATCATGGACTTGCTTCTACTTACATATAGTTTCTGATGGAATCTGCGAAAACACAGACTACTCTGTCGCCCTCTTTTAAACCATAGTCCTTGGCTGCTTTGATAGCGTAATACAACACGCAACCACTACTGCCACCTATAGAAAAAAGACAACTCGATTTGATTTTCAACATTTCAGTTTCGAGATTGAATTGGGTAAAAGAGCGTTGGTAAAACTAACATTGTAATTAAATGTTGATAAAAGCGTTTCAAATTGTGCAAAACAGCTAGCTTTTTAAGATAACCAAATCAAATATTGTTGCATAAATTAATAGTTGTTACTTTTGTTGCGTGTTTGTTTACGTGTAGATGTTTTGGATGCGCAGAGTGCATTCTGTAGGTGTCATACCTGACATGATTCCTTCATCTTTGATGAGACGTCTGGCCATGTTTAACGAGCCCTTATCCGTAGCCTTATACCATTTGTCGACCAACTGAAACATCAAAAACAAAACGTCAATGCGCATTTCATACTTCATGTTGATAATTAATATAGACGGAATAAACTCGTTCTCCACGGCCCACTCAGAGATATTTACGTGCCTGTCTTAAAGTGGCAGCCAATAGAGTATATTTGTCGGCGGCAAAGAGTAGAGTGAAAAATGTTGGAAGCAATCTTAAAAAACAATCCTAAGTTTATTTCGTGAAAAAATTGAAATGTCTGTCTTCTGATCAAATGTTTGGAGGAATTGTTGAATTGTCCAAATTCATTGGAACTGGAAAACGGAAAAATACTGGCGTTTGATTCCAAACTTACCGATTTCAACTCGTTAATTAAATTGGTGAAGATGTATCATAGCATGGCTTAATAAGGTAAATCAAGGACTTTCAATGTTTCTAATCTGGGAGTTACTATATATCTGAATAAATAGATGTCATCAGTTGTTTTGAATTGTTTTGGTTAGGTCAAACTGCCATAGGTGGTTATAATTTCATTTCTTCTTCGAAATTACCACCCAATATCCATGAAAACAATACCAAGTTTCTTTTTTACGTCATAATTTTTCATTGATTTTTCATATAAAACAGGAGAATGTACTTTAATTGGATAAAGGATATATTTGTGTCACTCTCCGTGATCAGTCATGTGACTTTTGCTTCCCTACTTAGTTTATATGAGGGTGGGAGGGTGGTTGGTTGGAAAAATGTATGGTTTCAGAATGCCTGTATGGACTGTTATGTCTAAGAAACTACTCATTGGAATCACTCCATATTAGACAGTATGCACGTTTGAGATGGAATTCTACATTAGAGTAAAATAAAAAGATGCTGTATGAGTAAATAGGTGTTACAATAGAGGTCAAAGGTCAAATATCTGGCTTGATGGATTCCACTTAACCTTGAATACCACATACAACTTGTTAAGTCTGTGTCTAGTGCTCCTTTGGAATATAAGGGTATATTTAAAAATATAATATTAAGGTCAAAGGGATATGATGATAGGTGCATATTCTCAAGTTAAGTCAATACACGTTTGCTGCAATCTTAATATTCTCAGGAGAAAATTAGCAATTTTTATTGTACTTTCCTAAATACATTCCATTACACATTAAAGTACATATTATTTTCAAATATCAAATCTCATTTCTACCGAAATCAAAAATTCTGACGCATTTTACAGCATTTCAAAGAGATATGATGATACGTCACTGCACTTGCCCTATCTCAGCCTATCTGGGTTCAAACTCTTAAACATTTTACAAAGTATAATTTGACATGGAATTAATAATCCATTCTGGCCATAGGGGTACTTCTCATTTTGAAATTGATTTTCATAAAATTGATAAATGACCCCTTGGGATGAAAGAGTTAATATCTAATTTTTCATTCACTTAAAATTCGCACGGAGGTCAGATTCTTAAAGCTGACCCTTTCAGCTTCCCAACGGTGTGTTGGAACTGCACACTATTTTCAAATATCAAATCTCATTTCGACCGAAAACAAACATTCCGAAGCATTTTGTAGCATAATGGGGCCACTGCACTTAATGACCCCTATCTTGGTTCAAACTCTTAAATGTTCTCCAAAGTATAATTTGACATTAATTATTGAAAACCTAAGAATAATCCATTCTGGCCATAGGGGTACTTGTCATTTTGAAATTGATTTTCATAAAATTAATAAATGACCCCATGGGGATGAAAGGGTTAATATCTAATTTTGCATTCACTAAAAATTCAAATGGAAGTCAGATTCTTATAGCTGGCCCTTTCAGCTTTCCAATGGTGTATTGGAACCTTGGTTCAGAGGTCAATTATATCACCTTAGTTTACTCTTCTATGTGTTAAACGTGTATTTTTATATTTATATGGGATATACCCTGTATACATACTTGTATGTTACTTTCACATTTATATATTAAACGCTGTGCTCTACTTCACTGTATTTATTTAAATCGTGTAATAAGATGTAAAATAACCAAAACGATCCTCAAAGGTCGTATTATATAGCATCTTATATAGTTTGTAAAATCAACCTTTCAACCTTCATATCAACTCGGTTTAAGGACGGCTACCAAGTTATCAGACATATATGTCATTATGCTATATAAATATTAATAGAAATGTCTAGTCTAATGAAAGATAAAAATTACGCTACGATAGAGTTTGGCTAGAACACACCATTTAGTCCTTTATCAAGGAGATTTATAAATTTCTCGTTTTTTGATATGGGAAAACAATCCTCTAATTTTCTGGCATTTAATCCAGGATTTAAATAGTGAATAATGGTGGCTTGGATGTTCTTGTTAATCCTTGAGCCAAGTTTTTAAACTATTTTCGAGTATTTAATTATACTTAGATTGAAGAAAATCTGCATATAGAGGCAAGAAGGGTACATCACATATAATGTTAACTTGTCAAGTTTCACTGTCACCATTCTTGTTTAAGAGAAACAATAGACATGAAGTCATGCAAATTAAAGTTGAAATAAAAATACATAATTACTTCTCTGTCTGCAACAGTAGGGTAGAAATCTTTACCAATTCCCTCAATCTGGGATGAACCTTTCACAAACATGTCATCTGGAGCAACTCTGGAGCCTACTGGGTCAATTGCAACGATCTGAAACAATATTTGATATTTTAACAATGCATATATACATTATATACCGTGTATATTTCCAAAATAGAAATACTGACAGAGAGGATTGTGTTCTTTGCTGTTCCTGCTTGATAGTAATTGAAGGAATATATTGGGGATAATGTCATACTGACTTTATGAGATAATCCAGATAATCCAGTCGACTCTTACCTTAAAATATCAATGAAATTATATATCATTTAGCATGTAGCCCTTTCAAAAGAATTCAATACTAGTATAGCACCTTTGCAATGAATCTATTTTAGAAGCATTTCAAAAATGATATTCTTGTAGTTTAGTGTAAATTCCACAACGTTCTTTGTATTCGTTAATTTATGGTGTCAGTTGTACTTATATGTACTTGTACTTAGGGGATGACTTGTCCAGGTGATGAGTTGTCTAGGGGATGAGTTGTTCAGGGGATGAATTGTCTAGGGGATGACCTATCCAGGGGATGAATTGTCCAGGGATGAGTTATCTAGGGGATGACTTGTCCGGTTACCCATCATGATACAACGTCTTGGCAATCACAATATAATCTTCATATTAATTTGGCGCAAAAAGAGATTCAATTACCTTTAAGCCATCAACAAGGTGATTAAGTTTGACGACCAACACCTTCACCAACAAGTTGTAGTTTCATGATTTCACTTTTTAATCTTTTTTATTCTTGTTTATTCAATTTTAGTACATACAACATACACATATAATGACTGCCAAAGTTTAAAAACAATGGCAGTTTTTTTTTATTTAACATACACAATAAAATCATAATAAGCAAAAAAGGTGGTGTCAGGTTTTCTGTCTGGGGTGTTTAGGCAATAAGTAGAAAATAAATCAAATGGTAGTTACAGTAGAATTACTTATACAATTGATACCACTTTTGTAATTGGTACCAGATTACAAGAGAGCAAATGGTTACTATTTCTATATAGTATTTATCATACCGAAGTTTCTAAAAATCACTTCATCGATCCCAACATTTCTAAGAAGAAAGCGGGGATTAAGTGTGTTGAAGTCTCGTAATCCCGACACTGACTGCACCACTGGGATAAATTGATTTTAGAAACTGGTTAATAAATCCCAGCGCCCAATACATTGCCGGACTAAGTTGTTTTGAGAAAACTTTTTACCCGTTCTGTCTTTGATTTCTGAGATTTGCTGGGATAGGGAGTATTTCAAAGAAAGGGTCACACCTTGATGAAACCCTTGCTGAACGAAAATAACTAATGCAGCAACGATATCAAACATTTGTCTCATGTATACAATTGTCCACAATTTTCAGTTGATACCCTGATGAAACAATTAAAATATCAAGCCATTCTTATATAGCGTTTCAAATGTTTTTTCACTTCGATTGCTAAAACATGTACGGCATTAGAGCCATTTTCAAGCTGATGGGCTGGGCAACTATCTCTCTTATAAACGTGTTCAAGTTGGCTCAGCTGGCTGTACTGCATATTGTTTATTGGAATATCCAAACTAAGCTTTTTAGAATTCCAAAAACGTTAAGGTGTAGCCCATTAGGTTGCAGGTGAATGCATTGTTGTTAATAATATAATTTGCAAAATAACTTGCATCAAGAAGTTCACTGAGCTTCTTTTGAAAATCAACTAGCAAGAGTTGGATGGGTTTTAATACTTAACACAATTCCTGAAACACGAGTCGAAGAGAATTCTCTTACATTTCTGGGAAGGACAGGTAGACTATGTCCCCAACCTTGTGTATAAATGGAAAATTATCTGAGCATTTATTGTGAGATAAGAAATCCCATACTTTTTTCTCTCCTCCTACTCAACTTTTGATGACGTCACACAAAAGCAGGGATCCCCTCTAGGTTCAATTCGTTTAGCTTTTGAAAATGAATATTCTTACTATGGGATCAGGGGACATGGTCATTCTTTCCAAAGTCAGGAGTAGGAGGAACTAGAATTCATGAGAAAAGCCCGGGAGAAAAGCAAAGGCAAAAAGCAAGCTACCCATTTACAGTGATAACGAGACTAGAATTAGAAGTCACATGATTTCATTTCAGGGATTTCCACTTCTCTTTCTTTTTAGCCAGGTAAGAAGCAGGCATTTTATTCTAGAATTGTGACACTTATTGATATATACCACACTTAGGCCATGTTGCTTATGTGTTTATTTACCAAGTGATTGATTATTAACTTAATTTAGCGAGAAATTGGTCGCGATCAGAATAACTTGCCAAGCCACTTTAGTTTTACTCTACTCTCACGTTAGATTTAAAATGATAACCTTGCAATCGGGGCATCTTTCTTTGATCTTTCTTTCTAATCCAGTTAAGGTTCCACCAGTTCCCGTGCTGATTACCAACATGTCCAATTTATCTACAAATAACAGCAAACAGAGATGTTCATATATGTGCTTAATTTTTACATATTGTGTACATAAAATGTATATGGTGACACTTCACACTCCAAAAGGCGAAAAAGTGGAGTGTCTTGAACAGATTTTTCCCACAATAACATCAATGAATCACTGCAAGGTGCAGTTAACTATTGTGATTAGATCGGATCTCGAGTGTCAGTTTGCCTTATCTTTTAATATTATTTAGTGACCTGAATTACATTAGAAGGATACCTAGAAGACGATAGTGACCCATATCATATTAACTCAGACACTTGTGTTATGCCTAGTGCAATGACCTAAACGTTGTTGTCTAAGAGTATATAAACCTTAATAATGTCTGACACTGCCTAATGAATGAAACGTTTATGCATTTACAAGTGTAACTGGCGAAATGGTCAATGAACTGACCAGCTCAAGGACAACTCAGAGAACATGCATGCAAGCACGACTGAGCTGCTTCTTTGAGCCAGTCTTGACTGGTTGATAAGATATCAAAAAACAGTAATTCAATATGTAGAGCATCCTTTGCTAACAAGAGCACGTAGTGTATTAACGGGAACACGTAATATGCTAACAGGAGCAGCTAATGTGCTACGAGGAGCACATAAATGTGCTTAATCTCACCATCACAAGCGTCTAGTATTTCCTCTGCTGTGCCGTCATAGTGGGCAAGAGCGTTGCTAGCACTACGATACTGCAATATAAAACACCAGCATAGTTAACCAACAAAACCTGCCACTGTTGAATTGTTACCTTTGAACGTTCGTGTCCTGCTCTCATGAGCGATTTACACGATTGGCGAATCTGATAGTATCTCTTGTTCCAATAGATATTAGTTATTCAATATCACGGTGATCTTCAATCTATTCTAAGACGCAAATGAAGTAACATAACAATATTGTTGTAACAGTGGCAGGTATGATGGGAGACAGCTTCATGTAACGGTAAAAACATGCTAAAATATTAACCAATAAATTGGTAAATATGACAATAGTGGTGAAGATGCGGGAATGTTTTAAACAGGGATGTTCCCCTTTTCAGAATTATTATCAAATGTAGCCTTCAAATTCCAGGCATTTTCATGAAATAAAGACAGAACACCGTTTTGATAAATTGTGAATCTGATGTCTCATAAACATTCCCTCAACTTTTCTTTATCCTTTGTTACCTCATTTGATAAAACAATAAAAGGCTTGTCTTGACGAAGTTGCCAAAAGTAGTCAAAACAAAGGACATTGTTCAATGTGCATTGTTGTGACCAAGTTGTCTTGAAGACGACGTTGCCAAGAGTAGTCAAAGCAAATGGCATTACCCTGACTAGTTTTTTATGACCACCAAGTTGCCAAGAGTAGTCAAAGCAAATGACATTGTCGTGAAAAGGTTGTCTGGAGCACCAAGTTGCCAAAAGATATCAAAGCAAATAGCAACGTCGTGACCAGGTTGTCTTGACAACCGAGTTGTCAAGAGTAGTCAATGCAAAGGTCCTTGTCGTGACCAGCTTGTCTTGACAACCAAGTTGTCAAGAGTCGTCAAAGCAAAGGTACTTGTCGTGACCAGGTTGTCTTGACAACCAATTTGCCAAGGGTATTCAAAGCAAATGGCATTGTCCCAGGTTGGCTTGACATCGAATCCGCATAGTAGACCATGCAGCACATTTTTATGTATCCAGTAGAGTGAGTGAAAACTAATAGATAAATAAATTTGTATTAATAGCAGCGTCAATAAAAAGTTGCTGTGTTCAGTCTGAAAGCATTTGTTTGACAAGCAGTAGTTGTAAAACCCAAACAGATTATGTTAACTTTGAAAATAAAATATGAAATCCAACGAGCATAGCAATTACATGATATACGAGAGGTGGATTCAAATCAAAATACAATCAAACAATGCGTTAAATCTTTTGAATGCATGGATCATGGGGTAGTAAAAATAATTGATAGGAAAACCTACTTGGTCGAGAACTACACTGTTGGGTACGATATCAGCAAGTTTGTAAGCCACTCTGTAGGCGGACTCTGGTGACTCATAGCTTGCTATGGTGGGGGTCCTAACAAGTTCCACACCCTCTGCTCTCATCGTGTATACCTGTAGCAAATAGCAATCGCAAACTCGTTTTATGTGATGGGCTAATATTCTTGAATAGGATGGTGGACTATTGGCTTAGTTGAGCTGTATTTGATTCTCGTTTTTGTGTATTTGTATTCTTTGATCATTGCCCTTTGAGATTTTCCGTTTTGTTGTTTATTTATCTAAATTTTACAACTTTGGCTTTCCAACTTTCTATAACTAACTAATGATTGGGTAATCACCTTTTCGTCACTATTTTTCTCCGGCATCACTGCGATCATTCTGTAGCCCTTCACCCCTGCGACCATCCCAAGGCCAATACCAGTGTTGCCAGATGTAGGCTCAATAATAACACTTCCAGGCTTTAATCTTCCATCGTGCTCTGCATCCTCAATCATTCTAAGGCCTATTCTGTCTTTAAGGCTGCCACCCGGATTAAGGAATTCACATTTTACAACTGAAATGGAGACAATATACATGTACTATATTGAAGCTACTAGAAAATAGAATTTTCAAAGTCATTACAAATACTGTCTTGTTATGACCAAAGCGAGTGAGGGATTCCATGTGGATTTACGAGTATGATGTGAACACAATCAAAACAAATGCAAGTATTTTTGCGAGGGTCAAATTACTTACGTATTTCACAATCCAGGCCGACACTTTTAGGAATTTTGTTTAATCGAACCATGGGTGTGTTGCCAATTGCGTCCAATATTGAACTGCAGACCTTTGGTCTTGGTGCTCTGCAATTCAGGGCATAATAGATAGAGATTTAGAATGGAGCTACAGTCAAAGGATTCAAATTGGTATGTATTGTGGTTACTGTTACGCAGTTTATGGCATACATTCATGGTTGTGCGGTATTTGTGATACGGGTGAATATGCCATACTCACCTGCGGTATATGGCATATTCCGCAGGTGAGTATGCGATATTCCGCAGTGAATATGCGATACATTGATTTCAGTGAATACCCGATACTCACCTGCGGAATATATCATACTCACTTGCGGAATATGCCATATATCGCAGGTGAATATGACATATACCGCAGGTGAAAACGTGATACAGAAAGCCTTGATTTGATTGGTTGCGAGAATCGACTCTAAATGTAAAACTACGCTGGATTACCAATAAAGTTAGTGCGTCGAGTACTAATATATGAATCCTGGATTGATTAAGTTTATTACGCGAGATTGGTGACTGATACTTCTGCTAAGTTAATATATTCGATACACGTTACTGTAGATTCAGTAATCATTATAATAATTTATAACGTTTTACTTGTTCGTTCAATCGATGCAATTGACAATTGCGTACTTCCGTATCACGTTCTCATTTGTAAGTGTGTATGCCATATACCGCAGGTGAATCTGTCATAAAACGCAAGTGAATAAGCCATATTCGTTGCGGAATATGACATAATTTTGTATCGTGTTTACCGCGTAACAGTTACAACGATCCCTACAATCAGGATATTTCGATACTTAAAGCTAAAACCTTCATGAGAGCCTATCCTCATTCCCATTTTTTCAAAAAGAACTAAGACCAGAGAAAGGGGGTAAAAGTGCAAGGAACGGCATATCAAATTTTCCAAACCGAATATCCTTCAAAATTGATTTCATGAAGGCTCAGATTCATTAACTTTGTAACTAATAAACTTTCGTTATCGTATACTTATTTCTGACACTTCCTCCTTTCCAATGGTATATTCAAATCCTTAGAAAAATAGCGCCATTTTAGCTCGCTACATGTTGAGGTTCATTTTCAGGTATAATAATAGTACTCACATTTGTCTTGTTGTATGTGGGTTAAGTTTTGGGTCGACATCTTGTCTGTTGTGGTATTTACATTTCTTAGGTATACAGGGTGGGATCCACCCGCCAATTTCACCCACAACATTCTCTAGTCCTGGGATATCATCCAGTATACTCGCGTCTCCATTAGTATGCCCATTGGTTACACCGTTCTGCGGCATTTCTTCTACTTCAGCTAGTCTTTGCTCTTTTCTAAGCGATGTTTGTAATTTACGGATTTGAATGCATCTGAAGCAAAGAGGTTGATTAATTACGAGCAATGAAAGTATAATTTATAAACTCTCATATCATCTTTGGTATTCGAAACTCTCGATAATGACTGGAATGGAGCCAAAAGCTGGACTGGTAGGGTGCAACGGTTACTTTTAAAACTTCAAATATATAACATTTCATGAACGTAGTACACGCGCGGTACACACGTGGCAAAGTGCAAAGATGCTGCGAAAATTGTCTCATGACGTGTTCTCTCAACGTTCCAGGTCATATCGCAGAAAATTGGGTTTGTTTGGAACATGACAGGGGTATTATCCGTGTATTACACGAAAATGTGCGAAACCCAAAAAGACTGCAGATGTCAGTGGAATCCCGAAAATCGTATTTTACTGCAATTTCCACAGCAGGACAGTTCACAAAGATCAGTCTCTCGGACACAGACTAACGCCACCTCGGTCTGTTGAGTGTCGGTGTAATGCAATATTTCAAAACAACTAAGAAGTGATCAAAACATTTCTTCGAATCTGTTCGAATAATGTGAATCACTCATCAGTCGCATGATCGTATGATCATACCCTAATATGGGAGGCAAAATATAATGCTTTGGTGATAAGCCCACTGTCCCCTAATAAGGAAAACAAAAGCTGTTCAGTGCTAGTGGTTATTACCCACTGAACAGGTTTATTATCTTGATTCATGTTATTGCTGACAGCCAAACATTAATATAAAACACAATGGTTAACTCTGGGTGAAAGCACTTATTTTAAGTAGAACAAAAAAGTTCATGAATTAAAATAAACCCAGTTCTCCTTGACTTTTGCTACACATTCTCCAAAAGTCAATAACAGTGTAGCAAAAGTTGAAATAAAGTTGAACATTGTAGCACAAAACGGTTACAGTGTACTTATATATTCTCCTTGACGTACAGAGCTATAATGATTCACTTTCTACATAGATTACTTTAAGATGGTAGTTTGAGTTTGAATAATGTTACCAATATCATACAAATATCACTATTTTAAGAGCACATCATCCAGACTCCTTGCGCAGTGAAACCACTGGCGGATCTGTGGGGTGGGGGCAGCCCCCCCCCTTGGATGGGCCCAGAAAAAAATTGGGCCCCAAAAATTTGGGCAAAAAGATGCCTTAAGGCCACAAAAGTGGGCCTTTTTGGTCATAACTTATTTTTTATTTTAAGGCCAACTTTTGAAGGAAGTGGGCCTCAAATTTCAAAATTCGGGCCCACTTTTTGGTTTTAGGGGCCCACATTTTTTTCCTACGTTTCAGATCAACTAATGTATATTCGAACACCTGGCTAGTTCGAACCCCTCCCAATTTGAACACTTTAAAAATTGAAAGCTTGAAGAAACTTTAAAATACTTGGCGACCCCCCCCCCCGCCCCCACTGAAGTCATATTTGAAAAACAAACCTCACACGTTTCTTACAAAATTGCTCAAATATTTTCGATTTAACACTGAATTGTTATGATTATAAAACTTTTGAAAAATAAAAATTTAATGATCTCAATCAATCTCGCGAGCATGACGAAATTCATTTGAACCGGATTTTCAAATTACTGGAATGCTATAAAACTAGAATTATAATTATTTGTTATTAAGAACCACTTAAGAAGCAGCATATAAAGAATATACATTTGTAACAAAAAAGAGTACATTCTTTTTCTATTGTATTTTAAGAATTGACACTTGCCAAGCTATCCATAACCAGTGTGGCACAAAAACGATTGACTGTCAAATGCAGTGCACTAAAGCTGAACTAATTACACCATATTCACTCATTCAATAGCTAAAGAGTAAATACAATAGAAATTCATTTTAAACTGTATATGGCCTGTTACATGCAGTGCGCTGAAGCAGAACTAATAGCACCCAATCACTTCTCAACACACTTACCCCATGGTCAATACAAAAGAAATCAGATTTTCCTAATTTTTGATTGTGGGCCATTTACCTGTCATAAGATTCAGTGTGGGGTTTAAGTTAGATAAACCATTCGCACTGGGTCTTATGAGAACTAATAGCCTAGGGCCAAGGCCCTCGGCTATTACTTTTCATAAAACCCAGTACTCATAGCTTATGCCTTGGTCACATATGCTCCGATCCATCGGCCGGCGCCCACCCGATTGAGTGTTTTGTTCAATATTGTATTCAATTTTGAACAAAATACTCAATCGGCTGGGCGCCGTAGTGAAAATCGGAGCAAATGTGACCAAGGCATTAGCCTACTAACAGATGGTTTACAATCCAGAATATTGCGCATACAAAAACATCGAAAAGTGAACATCTCCTAATCCGAAAGCTTTTAGCTGGTCCCAATGACGTTCGGATTAGGCAGGTAATTGTTTGATATTTCAAGTAAAGTAATATATGTGACAGTGATACACGCTCATGTGCAGGTATAGCAATTTTTAAAAAAATGTTTTGAACATGTACCTTAAGGTGACTGTTAACTTAATCGATTTTCAGAAAAAATTGAAAATTTCACAATCTTGAAATTTTCAAACTCTTCCTGAGAAGTCGTTTTTATTATTTCACATATGCTTGTGCACTGTAATCATTACAAAGACATCAAAGAACAACAAAAAACTTTAGTTTGAGAAAAAAAGTGCCGTTTAAAGAATTTGAGAATATTTTTTTCTAGGAGTAGCCCGTGAAAAACCGCTGATTCAAAATATCTGAACATTTCAGAAAATATACTTCAAACATATATCAAAAACGAAGGAGCAACGGAAATTTGAAAAATTACCCGATAAAAAAATTGGGATCAAAATAAGGAAAAAAGTACACTTCTCAAATTGTTTTTTTCTATTTTTTTTAATTTGTATGAGAGATTTGAAAATTCTAACTCTCCTTCCATTTTGGGCTATATTAAAGGGATGTTTCAGAGAAATTAGAAAAAAATGTTCAGGGACCTTTGCCGTGCTACTCTTTTTGTCAATTTTTCTGTCACATTTTCAGAGGACTCAAATTCCCATTCCAAAATGTTTACTGTTTCTATTTGCATTACCACAGTGAGCCTGGTTATATAAATGATAAGTGGAACTAAAAAATTGAGAGAAAATCCAACCAAAAGACAGTTAATTTTGATGGTCAGATTATACTCAAATGCCATGTGCTTCCTGGTTTCGGCCATCTTGGATTTTTTGATTAAGTTATAAGTTACCTTAAGGCCAGAGTGCATGTTCGGAATTTTGCTGCATTCCTCACATTGAGTCACATGTTATTTTTCAATTATAGGAATCACTCCTTCCCCACATTGTCTACAGTTTTGCACAGAGTGCACAAGAAAAGACTGGTGAGAAGATTTGTTTTGTAAAATGTATAAAAAACGAGAAGATTCAGTGAAAATTTTCTGAAATTTTATCAAAACTACATTCTTCTCTACATTCTTTTCGAGGAACATTAGTGCACTCGTTGTGCAAAAGTGAGAGATGTAGACATTGTGGGGAAGGAGTGATTCAAATTTGAAAAATAACATGTGACCCTATAGAGGGTTGCAGCAAAATTCCGAAGATGCACCCTGACCTTAATGCAAAGAGGAGTACTTTGGCTTTTTGTTACATTGAATGAAAAGGATGCAGTCAGCATTGGTTTTATGTTTTCTTCCAATATTGCATCGGGCTCCGAACACTGACTTTTGCTATGTTTCAATACATGAGTTCTCATTTGGTATCGGTCAAATGCAAGGTCAAGTCTGATAATGGTTTCAAGCAGCACTCGAGACATTGCAAGTAGGTATCTACATATTGATCCATTATTGTTTCACATGACTGAAGTTTACAGTGTGATATCTGCCTACATATAACTGCCACGCCATGCCCAAACCAATGAGAATGAATGTATATAGAAGGGTAACAGCTTATTAGATCCTTTACAGTTAGATAGTTATCCACCAGTACTTATAAAATGCTCGATACACACAACAAAACAGACTTTTGTAGGTAATTGGGTCGAAAGTTATAATTCCAAATACGATGGGAATCAGCAACCTTTCAAATATGCTAAATCTAAGATACGAGGTCATAATCAAAATAATATTACCAATCGTAAAAATAATAAAAACAAGAAATAGCTGTGGTACGAAAGGAGGCGAAAAAATAATGATGTATATTTCTGTGTGAATTCTTTGCAAACTATAAACGTTTACTTTAGACTTCATCGTGAACGTGCAAGCTTTCAAAATAAAATTAACTAAAGACACCGCCCCCGTCAACGTTGACCCATTTTTGAGCACTTCTAGCTCCAATAAAGCAAAGCGACTTACCTATAAGTACTGCAGTCTGCTAGTAATGAGTTCACTAAACGCCTATGCATAATAAAAGTTTTTTGAAGGTGGTGAGGTCAGAGGTTATGATTCCAAATACGATGGTAGTCAGTAATCGTTTAAATCATTCTATTCTATTCTATCATATATTTAATCCTACATACGAGGTTGGTCAATAAACAATGGGCTTTCGAGCACAGATATTAAACATGTTAGAAATATCTCTTGACAGAATATGTATACGTGAACAGAGAAGCAAACTATGTCATTTTGACACAGATACTAGATATATCTTTTTAGTGCAGCAGTAGTCTACAAGTGCGGATATGGGAATCAAGAGGAAGGGGTCAAAAAATGTTGGGTCCCACTTTTGAAATGTTTGGGTCAAAATCTTAAAGTTTGAGCCCAATTTCTAAAGATATGCTCCTAATTATAAATAATACCCAGTTATGCCAGTTTGTTACCTAAAATGCACAATTTTGGGCCTTAATTTTCTTTGGTCCCACCCCCAGATCCGCCAGTGCGCAGATAGTAGATATATACCTCAACATAGAAACTAGACATGTCATTTTAACTAACTACCCATTGGTGCATTTTTAAAGGATTTATGCCCAGGACTCGATGAATTGTAGGATCATTTAACAATGTATGTGTTGTTTCCAGACTTTGCATCAGTAGACTAATTCATTCACAATTCACTGAGTCATGTGCTAAAATTAGTTCACACAGTGCAAAAGATTTTATACAGTTTCACTTAAAAATGTTGTTTTTGCATCTTGCAAGGAAACTTTTCTGCAAGGGTTAACTAAATCAACACTGTAAACCATTTGGCAGTCGGACATACTGAGACATTAGACCTGCATAAGCACTTGGCTTGTTATTTCCTATAATACTGTTTATAGATATTCACTCAACTATAAAATTGACAAACTGATTTCAGTTTCACTAGAATCTAAAAGTAGCCCGGGTACATTAGATTGGGTTGGGTGGTTGATTATTTCTATTTGAAATAACGTGTTCCGATTGGGTGGAATTTGACCTTGCCTAGCTATGGTCAACTCATTTGAATATGAATATTACATGAGTTGGCCATAAAACGGTGGTCGGTCCGTCACCTGACAACTAGCGGTTGAATTCAAGAATGTCACCTTAGCCTTAAACTGAAAAAGCAGCGAAAAAGTATCCTGGTGTAACAAATCCCGTCGTCATTGGGATCACTACCCCCATGGCCACCGTACCCTAATGATTAAAGCATACATTTCCAAGACAGATATGTCTAGGTGATTATTGATCTCCCCTCGTACAAGCATTATCTGAATTGTAAATAGGATGAGTTTCTAGTAGCAGTGACAAAATACAAAAACGTTTTCTGAATTCGACCGATAAGGGTGACTGATGAAGAAATTATTAATCTAGAAATATTTTATGACGCTAAAAGCTATCATTATAATATATTGGATATTTTGAAAAAGACTAGTATTCCTGAAGTGACAGAATTTATCAACGGGATAATGGATTATGTCTTGGAATGTGTTGTTTGGAAGCTTTCAACATTAACAAATAAATTCTAATTACTAGTTACCAAAACATAAATATTCTAATACCATTGTCTTCATTAGCAAGGAAAATTCTGATTAAAAGTGAAAAACTTTTCATTCCCAATGGTACGATAAAATTAAACTTAGAATTATAACGTGGTGTAATAATGTTGAAAACTTGCTAAAATGTCTCGTCCACTAAGGGAATATTACTGAATACCATTCCCCATTTATTCCTATTATTTCATGACGAGGGGAATTTTACAAAACTAGATAAATATTAATCAACAAGCAGCCTTGAATATTTGTACTGAAGATAAAACACTCTTAATAAGTTAAAGTTCAAAATCGAATCTCCCTCATGTAAGTTTATATGTTGAAGGTATTTGGGTCATGTAATATAAAGATAGCGGAGACCTTTGACCTCTCAATTTCTCTTAGTATATCTCATGATTAGGGAGACACTTGTCTGTACCCCCCCCCCCTCATCAGCATTTGATATTCTTTTCAGATTTTTTATACCGACTTTAATTTCTTTCAACGCTCAGTGCTGCGGCAAACCTACAACTTGGCTTCCTAGATAATTTATGCTAGTTCAAGTTGGTAACTATGTTGCAGTTAGCTAAAAGTTTTAAGAAAATAGTCTAATCGGTAGAAAAGTGTTATCATATTATCCCAACGAACGAAGTCCGGTAGGGATATAGTGAAGCCCTCCGTAAGTCTGTCCGTCTGTTCAGCCGTTCGTTCGTCTGTCCAGAAGATGGTAGTTTATCCATAAAACATATCTATTTGACTATTATATTCCGCTGTAGGCTCATATAACAGTGAACTGAATCTTACTAAAGGATTTAAGCCCAGAACTCAATGCATAGCTGATTTGATGTTTTCGCACCTTTGCATGAGTGCGACAGAACGAATGCAGAGTCTAGGAAAATACATTGCAACAGATTTTATACAGTATCATTTAAAATACTATGTTTTGCAAAATAACTTTTCTGCAAGGGTTAAGTAGGTCAACACTAACATTCAATCTAACCATCCATTTGACCTGCATAAGCACCTGACTTATTGTTGCCATGAATACTATTTACATATTTTCACTCAACTATGAACCTGATGTAATCAGTTTCCCTTGAATCTAAAAATAGCACAAGTGCATTTGATTTGGTAATTGATTGATTATTTCATGCAATTCAATAAAGAGCAATAGTAAAACGAATGGGTGTTGCATGGAAATATTGCATTTATTTCTAATTTGCTTTCGGTAATACGGATAGTTGATAGTAGGCAATGGTGTGACAAATTAAACGCCTTCGTATCTCGACAACAAACACAGTTCTGCTATTCTATTCACACTCAAATCCTATGTATTTATTTCACTCATTATTTGTAAGTATATACATTATATTTAATACAAAAATATTAATACATTTCAATATACAAGTTGTGATCTTATTAACCATATCTTATAATACTACTTATTTAATTAGTTGTATATTATAATCTTCGTTAAATGGAATCTCTGATGAAATGCAGCTATTAAGGCTACCATGGTAACTCTAAGTAAGGTTGTTATCCATGTAGATATACCCTAATGAAAAATATATGATAAGTGTGATACGACGCATATACGTCGCATCACGCAGAAAATACATTTCCATGCGAATTTACATTAAACGATTATATATTATGTAGGACTATGTTATATTCAAATACTATGATCCTTTATCGTACATAACTTGACCTGATATTTAAAGCAAATATAAAATTGATTATAACTGAAAAGTCAATATATTTTTTGGAATGTTAAAAAACTAATTCTGAATTCCCATAATGCGTGGTGCTAAGTCTTGGGTTGCGTAGTTGATTATAGAACTCCTCCAAGCAGTTACCTGCACATATAATGACTACGTACTATCTTTCGAACATTGAGTATTTGTGTTATTCTTTGCCGAACTATGTGAGTCTGTTTTCTGACTTGTCTCTTCATCTTCCAAGTCATAATCAATGGAGACTTCATCCCCCGGGTTCTGTTCAGACTGGGTGGTGAAATAATTTGGTTCCAATGCTTCAACATCAGTGGAGACGGACTCAGTATTTTGACGCCCGTTTTCTACAACTGAGGACGTGGAGTCCAGGGAAGAACCGCTTATAGCGCGCTTCATGTTTTTATTGGACCTATATTGTTTATATGCGAAAGCGGCTATTACTATAATTGCGACTGTTGCTAAGGCTGCCCAGACAACCAAGGTCAACTGGCTAGTCTCACCATTCTTCACGTTGTCTCTTAGTTCAGTGATGAGCCGCTGGTTGTCGGCTGCCATAGAACGGGCTTCATTTACCAATGCTAACCCTTGAATTTAAAAATACATGATTAGTGGATATCATTGATACAGTAACAATAAGTTCTTACTAAGGTCTCCTCACACCTGAACAAATCTACGAATCGAAGCCCAGCGAATTGTGTATTTTGTCAATTCTGGTGATTGGGAACGCGGATATTCGCCAGTATACGTAAGTTGACGTAAGGGGGGGGGGTCGTTCATGCGTGAGGAGGCCTTCATATTATTTCATTTGTTATATCAACTGCAGTTTGTATCTAATTATGGGTCTGTTAAAACGCAAAAACATGAATACGTTCAGTCAATTTATGATCAGTTATTTCATAACAACATTTACCTTGTGTCTGACTATTAGTATTGGCCGTCGTGCTTAGGCAGTGATAACTCCCGAATGTATTGAGACATACCACGCCAATTTCACTTCCACATATGTTGGGCACAGCTTCACACTCATTGACATCTTCAAACAGAAAAATCAAGGTTTATCAATCATAATGTCAATGCAAGAAATAAACAAAAAATTGAATTCCGACTTAAAGAGAATTTTATCGTCATAGACATTGCGATGGGAATGAAACGTTGAACAGTGATGACAAATCGTCACAAGAATATCTTTGGGAGCAACAAACCCTCGAACTCATATATGTAGGCATGAATGAGTGAACTAAAGATGACTTACCTAAACACTCATGACCATCATCGGAGAGAGTGTAGCCAACATCACAAGAACAATTGTAGGATCCAACTGTATTCGTGCAATTATGTTCACACTGACCATTAAACTCTTCGCACTCGTTTTTATCTAGAATGGAATTTTTGTATCAGTATTTCAGGTTTTCTAGTGGACACGTATGCAATCGCAAGTGAAAAACTAACGATGTGCTCAACAATTTTGGTATATTAAAAAGATTCATATTTTGACAAATTCGCATATATAGATATAATGATATAAAGGTTCTGTGAATCAAAGATATACAAATGTATACTACCTTCACACGTTCGGGCGTTGTCTTGGAGAACATATCCATCGGAACAATCACATCTGGACCCCTTGAATGTATCTATACAAATGTCACTGCAGTTCCCGTTGTTAGTTTCACATTCGTTTGTTTCTGGAAAATATCAACTAAAATAATGACGATATTTTCGGAAATATTGTGCAATGACCCAAATGGATATAAGTAACTAATCGAAACAATTCACAGTGAACTCGAACAATTATTCACACCATGTTGGAAATGTTGAAAATGCCTTTGTTGTATACGTATATAGTTCTTAATTTGTCCAAAGTTTGTTCATGTAAAGGTGAAACCTAGATCTCCTTTCTGTAACTGAAAATGAGACATACCTAGAGCAGTCAAAAGAGCAGAATCGACTCCAGCTCCAGAAGGCCCTGTTGCGCCTGCGACCCCTTGTGCTCCAGTTGGACCAGCCGCCCCCGTCGGACCAGTTGCCCCTTCTATTCCAGTAGCACCTAAGGTAATATTGATTCAACATAAATATTAGATGAGCATATGTTATTTCAGCTGCACTCTGGTAATTCATTTGTTAGAAATAGTTTCACGAACATTTTATTCTAGTAGCATTAAGGCAATTATTCAACAAAAAATATAAATATGTCAAATTTCAAGTATGCTTTTCTTTCAAAAATTTAAGAAAGTTTACATGCTACAAGTATTCATGTTCGAAGGCAGTTTCAACTAACCTGTTATTAAACAGATATCTGACGCACAAATCTAAATGTTTAGTACGATAGTACAAGTCTTTGTTTTTATATTGAGCCTGATTCATATGTTTCTATGATTCTTACCTGTTGGGCCAGTAGAACCCATTATTCCTGTTGCTCCTGATAAACCAGTCGCACCCGTCGGACCAGTTGACCCAGATGGCCCAGTTGCGCCAGTTGTTCCGTTTGCACCCTGCACTCCGGTTGCACCAGACACACCAGTAGCACCCATATTCCCATCTGCGCCAGACAGGCCAGTTGCGCCTGCAATACCGACGGTACCTGGATCTCCCTTGGCCCCAGTTAGTCCTGTGGCACCTATTTGACCTTTTTCTCCAGTTGGACCTGTAGCACCAGCTGGACCAGTAGCCCCGATAGAACCTGTCGCACCAGTTTGTCCAGTTGCTCCATCGGTACCATTTGATCCCATTAGTCCAGTTGCACCAGATAAACCAGTTGCACCATCTTCCCCTTGATCTCCCTTTTGTCCAGTAGTGCCATTCACTCCAGTTGCTCCAGTCGGTCCAAAAGCTCCCTTGTTTCCTGTTGCTCCTGATGGTCCAGTAGCACCATTTGTTCCGTTAACACCTGCAATTCCCATTGCTCCTGTTGGTCCGGTTGCTCCATCTAAGCCTTTTGTGCCATTCAAACCGGGGGCACCTATCATCCCAGTTACACCTATTTGGCCCTTTTCTCCAGTTGGACCAGTAGCACCAGCTGGGCCAGTAGCTCCGATGGCACCTGTTGCACCAATTTGGCCAGTGGCACCATCTGTGCCATTTGCTCCTATTTGTCCTGTTGCACCAGGTAAACCAGTAGCACCATCTTCCCCTTGATCTCCCTTTTGTCCTGTAGCGCCACTTACTCCAGTTGCTCCTGTCGGTCCAAAAGCTCCCTTGTTTCCTGTTGCTCCTGATGGTCCGGTAGCACCATCTGTTCCGTTAACACCTGCAATTCCCATTGCTCCCGTTGGTCCGGTTGCTCCATCTAAGCCATTTGTGCCATTCAAACCGGGGGCACCTATCATCCCAGTTACACCTATTTGGCCCTTTTCTCCAGTTGGACCAGTAGCACCAGCCGGGCCAGTAGCTCCGATAGCACCTGTTGCACCAATTTGGCCAGTCGCACCATCTGTGCCATTTGCTCCAATTTGTCCTGTTGCACCAGGTAAACCAGTAGCACCATCTTCCCCTTGATCTCCCTTTTGTCCTGCAGCGCCACTTACTCCAGTTGCTCCTTGAATACCAGTTGCACCTTAAAAGTAGTGGAGGATAATAATATAATCTGTAATGCAAGTACATATAGGTGATATTTGTAGGGGGATGATTCATTTGAAGGATACTGCTTCGATAAATACAAAACTGATACAGTCGCATTGCATTTGGAATATAAAATCTCTTAATAAACATACCCATGAACCCAGTTGCTCCTCCAGCTCCAGTTGCACCAATTACTCCTCTTTCTCCTTTTTCACCAGATTCTCCAACAGTGCCGTTTATGGCAATACCAGGTTCACCCCTTTCTCCCTTCAAACCTTGTTCACCATTTTCACCCTTTATACCAGATGGTCCAGTGGCTCCCATTGATCCAGTAGCTCCCATTTCCCCAGTTGCACCATCAAAACCAGTGGCCCCAGTTTCTCCTTTGGCTCCACTTGGTCCCGTTGCTCCAATTATACCTGTTGCTCCATAGAATCCAGTCGCCCCCATATCTCCTTTTGGTCCTTCGGCACCAGTAGCACCATCAATTCCTGTCATACCTTGTGCACCAGATGGTCCAGTTGCTCCCATACTACCTTTGGTACCATTGTTTCCAACATCGCCCTTGCTTCCAATATCTCCTTTTTCACCTTTCGTCCCATTGTTTCCTTGAACACCCTGGATTCCTTGTGCTCCAGATTCCCCTTTACTACCTTTATCTCCCTTACTTCCACTTTCTCCCTTTGTACCATTAAGTCCCCTCTCTCCTTCATCACCTGTAATTAAAGATTTACAGCATATTACACTACGTGCATCTTGCAACTGCATAATGCTAAGTAATAACAAGAATCATCCAGTATACAATACTGTTATGTATTCAATTCCATTTCAGAGTAATTCTCTTAGCATACCTGGTCCACCTTTGGCTCCCGATGCCCCTTTAGCACCTTGGTCACCTTTTGTTCCATTTATACCACTGGCTCCTTGTGGTCCAGTTTCTCCAAGTTCTCCCTTTTCACCGAAAACTCCTTTAGCTCCCTGGTCCCCTTTCTCTCCTGCTGTACCAGCAGTACCATTATAACCAGGAGCTCCCTTATCCCCAGTATCTCCTTTAGTTCCATTGGTACCTGTTTCACCCATACTTCCTTTACTGCCATCAGATCCTAATAAGCATTATTAGTTTTTCTGAATACTTTACGACACAATTTTAGCATTGTGAGTGAGTGTATGCATGTACTCCATCATGTAGTGCGATATACTGCTGTTTCTTAAAATACCAATTTCAACTCAATGATAGGAGTATGAAATGGAAAAAATAATTTTGAAAGAGAATTTGGTATTTTGGACTCTTTTAACACGTCGATACAGCTCAGAGAATAGTTTTATCTGTCATACCTTTACTTCCTGCTTCTCCTTTGGTTCCATTCAGTCCCATATCTCCTTTGCTGCCGATGTCTCCTTTACTTCCAGGAGCTCCAGTTTCTCCAACTTCTCCCTTAGTCCCATTGATGCCAGCATCTCCCTTTATACCAGCTTCTCCTTTAACACCCGCATTTCCAGATTCACCCTTTAGTCCAGCCTCACCCTTGGCACCCTCGACTCCTTGATCACCTTTCATTCCAGATGGTCCAGTAGCACCCATCAGTCCTTTAAAACATTATATTTACTTGTACACAATGTGAATATTAAGATGAAACAATCATTCAATATCACTATGAAGCAGCACACTTTTGAAATGATAAGAATGACTTACCAGTTGCACCCATAAATCCTGTTGCACCAGTCGCACCAACTTCACCAGTTGCTCCATCAATACCAATAGGACCCGTCGCTCCTTGTAACCCAGTGGCACCTTCCAAACCAGTATCACCTTTGGTACCATTGAAGCCATTTTCACCTTTAGATCCTTTGTCACCAGATTCTCCTTTTATTCCCTTTGTTCCATTAACACCTTGTGCACCTTGGTCTCCTTTAGCACCCGACATTCCCTTGGAACCAGTATCACCTTTAGTACCATTGATACCCATTTCCCCTTTAGCTCCATCTTGACCGGGACTGCCAGTTTCACCCTTAGTGCCATTAGCTCCAACAGATCCGTTTGCACCTATGTCTCCTTTGCTGCCTGCCTCACCCTTTTCGCCATCTGCACCAGATGGTCCAGTTGCACCAATTATTCCAGTAGCTCCTATAAAACCTGTTGCTCCATCTTCACCCTTATCACCAGATTCACCTTTAGGTCCAGTGGCTCCTTTAGTACCATTTACCCCAGCAACTCCTGCTGCACCAGCATCTCCTTTCAGACCTGGGTCTCCTTTGATACCCATACTACCATCAGAACCTTTACTTCCTTTAAGACCTGCTTCACCCTTCTCCCCATTGGTTCCATTTGTACCTGGATTTCCTCTATCCCCAACGGATCCTTTATCACCAGAGTCACCTTTAGTTCCATTAATACCGTCAATGCCATCTTCTCCTTTTAATCCTTGATCTCCCTTTTCGCCACGATCTCCCTTTGTACCATTTACTCCCAACTCTCCCTTTGAGCCCATCCCTCCCTTTTCTCCTTGTGATCCTTTTTCACCAGATTCACCTTTAGTTCCATTTATTCCACTTTCTCCTTGTTCACCTTTAGCACCACTTGATCCAATCTCACCTTTAGTTCCATTCACGCCTCTGACGCCCTGTTCACCTTTGCTACCTTGTTCCCCTTTAGTTCCATTTTCACCATCCACACCTGGAGCTCCAGTTGCTCCAACTAGTCCAGTTGCACCTTCAACTTGCTCGCCTTTCTGTCCTTTTACTCCAGGACTCCCAGCTTCACCCTTTGTACCAGGTGTTCCATTTGTTCCATTTAATCCTGGTTCACCCTGGTCTCCCTTAAAACCTTGTAACCCAGTTGCACCCATTGGTCCTGTTGACCCATCAAATCCACTTGGACCCGTAGCACCGATGATTCCAGTGGCGCCTATGAATCCAGTTGCTCCATCTTCACCTTCAATCAAATCAAAATTGTGTTCATTTATTTTTCATAGCCTTACACCTTCTTCAACTTGGTGAGCTCTAGGTAAAGGCAATTATTTAAATACATTTTCACAAACCTTGTTCGCCTTTTTCGCCAGCTTCTCCCTTTGCCCCGGCAGTTCCATTCAAACCAGCTTCTCCTAAAACTCCAGATGGACCAGTAGCCCCCACTGCACCAAGTTCTCCTTTAGAACCCTTCAATCCAGTAACCCCAGTAGCTCCAATCAAACCAGTGTCACCTATTGTGTAGACAAAGTATGAGATATCATATTACGATGAATACTCAGGATACTGTGTAGTTCTTTAATGAGGTTTTAAGTGGTGTTCGATAAACTTGCAATTACCAGTCATTCTTGATTTCTCTCTCTCGTATTAATCACATTCACCGAGAAATACTAATGTTGGAAAAGTTCCCCGAACTTCATGATCTGCATGTATACAATGATATTTTACCTTTCTCTCCTTTTTGACCTGATGGCCCAGTGGCACCGTCGACTCCATCCATACCAGTATTTCCTTTGATACCTTTGACGCCTTGTGATCCTTTGGTTCCGTTAATACCTTGTTGACCTGTTTCGCCAACTTCTCCCTTGTATCCCCTTTCTCCTTTAGTACCATTTACTCCAATCTCTCCCTTAGCTCCAATGTCTCCCTTTGTACCATTAACTCCAGGTGCTCCAATGTCACCCTTTGTTCCATTCAAACCTGCTTCACCCTTATCACCACCGACACCTTTCTGTCCCGAGGGGCCAGTTGCACCAATAGTACCAGTTGCCCCAACAAAGCCAGTAGCTCCATCATACCCATCACTTCCAGATTCTCCTTTGCTACCCTTTTGTCCTGTCATTCCGTTTGTGCCATTGATTCCAGGCTCACCTTTAGACCCTTTGAGACCCTCGGGACCTATATAAAAAGTACAGGAAATACGATTATAGGCATGTATTAGGGTAAACGTGTATTAACCCTTAACTTGTTAGGAGGGGAATGTCTGAAAACGTATTTCGTTGTTGGTCTTGGTCTGAATTTTTTAAAGTTGAATGAGGCACGTTTTAGTGACAAAGTTAGAACTGTTTAAAGTTACTAACATGTCAATCTACTATTTATATGAGGAAACGCTACGTCATATTACGTGTGGTTCATTTTATTTGAAGGATGGCTTCTGTCACTCTGGTTGACTTTGCTAACTTATTTCTATAATGATATGCTTTACGTCGTATCACAGCTTCATTTCTGGTCGTGACTTATACTTTCATATACATTGTATATGTTATCTCAGGTTTCCTACCCCACTTCATCCTTATGTGTGATTTAACAAGCTTTGCCTTTATGCAGAATCTTTATTTTTCATTTAGACTATAAACTAGGGGCCATCTTTTGAAAATACAATTGCAATATATCAAACGGCCGATAAAATGATAAAATAACCAATGTAGACATCTATCGGGTGTATTAAAAATAACTCGGTAAAACGTAACACATAAATATAGCATCAATCCTAATTTTGCGTCAGCGATAGGAAACAAATTTCATTCTTGCGATCAACAATAGCAGCTAGCCAAGTGGAAATCGTCTTCATTTGAAACACATCCAAGGAATTGCCAAACATTCAAAAAATTGCTGCATGAATGTTAAAATATATAATTTCTATGTAAAACTAACTTGGAAATGTGGACTTTTAAGGTATCACAAATTTTCCAGATTTCTCATTCCTTAATATCTCGGTAGCAATAGCATAAACTGTGGTAAAGTTATCTAACCTGAAAGCTTCGTTGGTACTTACCAGTGGCCCCAAGAACTCCAGTGGCACCTTGTTCTCCAGTAGCTCCCTGTAGCCCAGTTGATCCGATCTCCCCCTTGTCACCTTTACTTCCAATTGGTCCTGTTGCACCAGTTATACCGGTTGCTCCATCTAATCCATCAACACCGCTTGGTCCAGTCGACCCCATGACCCCAGTATCCCCACTTTCTCCTTTAGTTCCATTGTCACCTCTAATACCCTTATCTCCTTTCATCCCACTTGGCCCTGTAGCACCCAGAACACCTGTTGCTCCTAGTGCACCTGTTGCACCATCGGCACCAGTTGCCCCAACAATTCCTTCATCTCCAGGGGCACCAGCGGCTCCCTTGGCTCCTTCCTCTCCCTTTTCACCATTTTCACCAGCTTCACCTTTGGTTCCTAATTGATTAAAAAAGTCATTTATCTTTCAGTGGAGTAAAGCAATTCCTCGGAAGGGTAAACCGTGAAATTGAATTTGTATTGAGTATGATTTGAATTTAATCTAACAAGCAGGAGAAAAAATTGTCATGGTATTTCAACACGGATTGTCCATATGGTTATCTATTGCTCATCACAGTCAAATGTTATGTTTATATGAATGACATGACCCTTTGATCTTGTTGTTTGTGTGCGTTCTTCTTGCACCATGTTCATCAGTAACATTGTAAAGGATCACTCACCTAACCCTCCTTTGGCCCCAGATGGTCCAGTTGCACCATAAATACCAGTAGCCCCGTATATACCAGTGGCTCCAATAGAGCCCTTTTCTCCTTGGAGTCCAGTTGTACCATTTATTCCATCTGCACCACTTGGCCCAGTTGCACCCATTTGTCCAGTCATTCCTTGAATCAATAAGAATTATGCAAAGTTGAATAACTCAATGTTTACTTAACATAAGCATGTGCAGAGGCTAATTCAAAAGAAAAGAAGCAAAGTCAATCTAATACTAAGAGGAACATAAAAACAACATTGCAAATGAAATAAACCTACTGTCCTTGTTTAGTTATATGTGTACCTGTGAAACCCGTTGCTCCACTTTCTCCTTTAGTTCCATTAAATCCAACTTCCCCTTGTAAACCCTGGTCTCCTTTGTCTCCCTTATTCCCTTCGGATCCACTTTCTCCTTTTTGTCCAGATGATCCACTGATGCCCTTTTCTCCTTTGCTTCCAACTGTACCACTCGGACCAGTTGCACCAATTGCACCTGTTGCACCTACAAAACCCGTCGCACCATCGGCTCCTGTTGATCCAACGATCCCATCCTCTCCAACCTCTCCTTTTTTTCCTTTCAAACCTGAGGTTCCCGTGTTTCCAGTTGCACCTATTAACCCAGTTTCTCCTGGTTCACCCTTTTCACCAGAATCACCGACAGTAGACTCGCCTTTTTGACCTGTGAATATTGATATATGGTAAGGTTACGGAATGATTTATTGCTTTTTTGTTTGAATTGTCAAATATCATAAGAAATATTAGTAAAAGTCTCACCTTTTGTTCCAGGGTTACCCGGAGGTCCTGACACACCAGATTCTCCCTTATCTCCATTGGTTCCATTGTACCCAGGTGCACCACTAGGACCAGTTGCACCTAACATCCCATCTTCTCCTTTAGTTCCATTTGTTCCAGCAATTCCCTGTTCTCCGGCTTCACCCTTTGCTCCTTCCTTCCCCGTTTCGCCAACATCACCCTTTGTACCCTTTGTGCCATTTATACCTGCTATGCCCGATTCCCCTTTGACACCTTGATTTCCTTTTAATCCGGAAGGACCAGTGGCGCCAGTTTCCCCTGTAGCTCCTGATGGACCAGTGGCTCCTAATTCTCCAGAGATTCCTGTAGCACCTTGCACACCAGCGTCACCGGCTTCACCAGAGGCCCCTTTGTCTCCTTTGGTTCCATTCACTCCGTCGCTACCTAAACATTTAATTACACTATGAACATGGATGTTTATATCAAAATGAAAATTAGAAAAATCAATAAATCACTTGCATTTAATGGTCATGTGGAAACATGTCTATTTGTCTAAAATTGGTGCTAACGTGTGAAGGTTGGATAATAAGACAAAATTCTGTGAAACCTCACATCACTGCAACGTGTATGTTCTCGAATCCATAGCTAATATAAAAAAGAGGTAATTAAAATAGCTGTGTTTGGTATTGTTCAACCTTACAATAGCTGTATTAGTACTGTTCAATGTAGTATCGGGAAAAATCTTACCAGCCATTCCCTTTGCTCCATTTTCACCCTTTGTTCCAGATTCCCCTTTGACTCCAGAGTCTCCTTTTACACCATTTGTGCCATTGATTCCCGCGACGCCTTTTTCACCCATTTCACCCTTTTCTCCAGAATTTCCTTTGGCTCCATCGAGTCCAGTTGCACCACTTACTCCAGTTGCACCAACATCACCAATCATGCCTTTCTCACCCACTTCACCCTTTGCACCTGTAACGTGAATAATGGGTGTGTCATATACTCTTTTACTCATATATCCCATTACGTTTAATGTACACAAAACTGCATGTATGCTTGTATATAATAATTGTCTATCCACTCACCCTTGGGACCTGTAGGTCCTACTGCACCTTTTGATCCATTTTTGCCATCTTCTCCGGGTGTTCCAGCTTCCCCTTGATTACCAACTGGTCCACTGAAACCAGCCTCTCCCCTATCTCCCTTGTCTCCAGGGGCACCCTTATCACCAGAAGATCCTTTGTCTCCATTCAGCCCTGATGGACCAGTAGCACCAGTTGTACCAGTTGCCCCAAAATCTCCCATGTTGCCTTTGCTTCCAGGTGCTCCCTTTTCTCCATCATCTCCTTTTGTCCCATTCAATCCTGTGGAAGACACCAAAGTTCACATTTTATTGTATGATTATACAGTTTTTAGCTTTCTAACAAACTATTTAAAATTGATTTCACTTCCATCAGGGATAGAAGTCCTGTGAATCTTTAAGAACCGTATTATTGACTATTTGATTCGATATCAAGCAAGATACATTTTTTCATTATTATAGTGTGTTTCGGTTTTAGCTGAACTTATGTATTTGGCGAAACCATTGACTGGTCCTTACCAGCCACTCCTGTTGCTCCAGATGGACCAGTGGCCCCCATAGAACCTGCTTCTCCTTTATCCCCAGCCGAGCCCTTCAAACCTACGTCTCCCTTGTCACCCACTGATCCGGAAGGTCCAGTTGCTCCAATTATTCCAGTGGCACCAACCGAACCATTTGCTCCGTCTTCTCCTTTCAACCCCTTGTCCCCTTTTTCACCAGAAACTCCAGTTGCTCCATATTGTCCTACTTCGCCATTTTCTCCTTTAGAACCTCTATCCCCCTTCGATCCAGCATCACCCTTCTGACCAGTAGGCCCCCTTTCACCTTGAGTTCCATTTATTCCATTAGTGGCAACTCCTGGTTCTCCTTTAGCCCCAGAGTCTCCTTTCTGTCCATCTTCACCAGAAGGGCCAGTTGCACCATCTGTTCCATTTTCCCCTGCATCACCTTTAAAACCGCCTTTCCCAGGTTCTCCTTTCCTCCCAAGACCAGTGTTCCCTTTTATTCCCTTTTCGCCCCTATCACCTTTCAAGCCAGTCTCTCCACTTGCTCCTTTACTTCCATTAGCACCAGCCTCCCCTGCAATGTAACGTAACCGTTAACATGAGAAGCCATAGATATAGATATTAAATAACTATGCTATATTTGCAAGTATCAAATACATATATTAGAAGAATTTTCTACCTTTATTGCCTGGTGGGCCACTTTGCCCAGATGGTCCAGATGGACCTATTCCTCCTTTTATGCCCTTATCTCCCTCTTCCCCTTTGAGTCCACTAGGGCCAGTGGCACCACTTGTACCATTGAAACCGTCCATCCCTGCATCTCCCTTTTCACCACTTGGACCTGTAGCGCCAATTGTTCCAGTTGCGCCATGCTCTCCAGATGGACCAGTTGCTCCAGATATTCCGGTTTCTCCAGTTACTCCAGTAGCACCTGCAGTCGCACATGTTAATAATTTTATACTTTTATTCAGTTATACTAGCATAATAAAAGACAATGATATATTTGGTTTCAAAGCTAACACTGATTAAATACTGACTAGCTAAACAAATGACAAGAAATGTTAATGTCAACTTACCCCTAGCACCTGTTTCCCCAAGTCCTCCCTTTTCCCCACTTGGCCCTGTTGCTCCAACACCTCCTTTGATGCCAGCTGTACCAGAGGGACCCGTAGCACCTATTGCTCCAGTAGTACCGTTTGAGCCAGTTGCACCAACTATTCCAGATTCTCCTTTAGAACCACTTTCACCTTTAGCGCCTTGTTGCCCATCGGTGCCATTGGCCCCAGCAGACCCCTTCTCACCTTGACTACCGACAGCCCCCTTTGCACCAGTTTCTCCGGATGGTCCAGTTGAACCTGTCATCATAATAAAAATGTGCTGTACCTTCCTTGTAGAAAGCTAACATTGCAATAACAATGTTTTCACAAAATCACACCTTATCCCTACCTTTGTGAAAACAACTTACATGACTTACATATGGAATATGCCTTGAGTTATCAAGATAAAGACGATCTATTTAAATAATGAGAGATACCTTGAGCTCCTGTGTCGCCGTTGTCACCTTTCGTTCCTTTAACTCCTTCAGAACCTGCATCTCCTTTGTTACCAGATGCTCCTTTATCGCCAGAGTCGCCCTTTTCTCCATTTTCACCCTTAGCCCCAGATATTCCTTTTTCCCCTAATTCACCTTTAAAACCGATCTCTCCCTTGATTCCTTTTGAACCAGTTTCACCCGTTATTCCTTTTGCACCAGAGGGACCAGTTGCTCCCTCAAGACCCGGATCTCCAACAAGCCCACCAGGTCCAGTTGGACCAGTTGCACCGTCTGATCCATTAAAGCCAGGTACACCGATGGATCCTTCATCTCCTTGTGTACCTTTATCTCCCTGAGCTCCATCTTCTCCTTTAGCACCACTTAGACCGGTTGCACCAATACTCCCTTCATCACCCTGTGAGCCTTTACTGCCAGTCTCTCCTGTTTCCCCCTTTGCTCCTTTCGATCCTGTTGGACCAGTGGCTCCATCATTGCCTTCTGATCCTTTGTCTCCGCTACTACCTTTGACTCCTGTTATTCCTGTTGCACCAAATGATCCTCTGTCACCTTTAGCACCCTGTGATCCTTTCTCACCTTGAATTCCGGTTGCTCCAGTTGGTCCTATTTTACCTGTTGGTCCAGTAGATCCTGTTGAATATAGATTAGATTTAGAAAACTGAAATCATACACACATTTCTGTCAACCTTATGTTCTGCCAGGCTTTACCAAATACATGCAGTTTTATCATTGGATTTGAATAAAATACACATTAGACTTTAAAGTACAATGAGATCACTCTCGAATTCAATGTTACCTTGAAGTCCTGTCTCTCCCTGGCTACCGACACTTCCTTTCTCGCCCTGGCTACCCTTGTCACCAGTATCACCAGAAGGTCCAGTTGCACCAATTGATCCATCAATACCATCAGTTCCTTTTTCTCCTTTAGACCCCTGTAGGCCAGTTGTGCCGGTTGCACCAATAAGTCCAGTAGGTCCAGTCGAACCAGCTTGTCCACTTTCCCCCTTAGCACCATCAGCGCCATCATTCCCTGACGGGCCTGTTGATCCCGATATACCACTCTCTCCCTTTACCCCACCTTCACCCTTTTCTCCTGTTGTTCCTTTTGTTCCATTATTTCCTTTATCTCCTTTGACCCCAGCATCGCCTTTATCACCAAGGGCCCCCTTAGAACCTGTGATTAAGATAATATGTGTTTTAATGGAATCCTAATATACTGACAACGTTAGTGCAATATTTTACTATAAATTTCCTATTCATCATTTTCGTTTTCATTTACTACTAAGCTTAATCTAACTTCAAAGTGATGTTGAGGAAATGCATCAAATAAATTAATCTGAAATGTAATTATGTTTCCAATAATGTGTTAAATGTTAGGGTGTAGCATTACATCTGCTATAATTGAAATTATTCGAACTGACCTTGATTTCCACTTGGCCCAGTTGCACCTACTAAACCAGGACTTCCGGCCTCTCCCTTTTCACCTTCATCTCCACCAACTCCACTCAGACCAGTGGCACCAACCTGACCTTCAGGACCGACATTTCCTTCCTCTCCCTTTGCCCCTTTGTCTCCAGTTTCTCCATCTGCACCAGATGGACCTGTTGCTCCACCATTCCCATTTTCACCTTTCGCTCCAGTTGGACCTATTGATCCTGTAGCACCAATGAAGCCGGTAGCTCCAACAATCCCTTCTATACCTTTTGTACCCTTTTCACCAATTTCACCCTTCTCACCAGATGGACCAGTTGCCCCATCTGCTCCTTCTTCTCCCATTGTTCCATTCAGACCAGAATCTCCTTTACTGCCTTGTTCACCCTTTGCTCCTGATGGACCCGTAGCACCAGTATAACCAGTTTCCCCAACAGCACCCGTTGCACCAATGTCGCCTTTGTCTCCTTGTTCACCAGGAGTCCCTGCATCTCCCTTTGATCCTGACAATGGTATAATTCATTTATTGTTTATGTCAGATTAATTCATTTCAAAATGTTTAAATAAAAAAAGCCAATAGTTAAAATATTTATTTGGGTTTCCTCACATTCTAGAAAAACTAGATGGATGACTTTCAATTAAATTGAAAGCCATCCATTATTATTACCAGGAAAGGAAACACTACAAAATGCTATTAGAATACCAAAAGATAACACTTACCTGTTTTCAGAAAAAATATGATAATAGTATTTAAATTACCACACAAGCTTTTTACTGAAACAATTTTTTGTCAAATGCCATGATTTGATTTGTTTTACTGTTTATGCACTTACCATCGGCTCCCTTAAACCCTTTAGGGCCCTCCTCGCCTTTCGAACCAACTTCACCAGGAGCTCCAGTTGCCCCGATTGGTCCTGTAGCTCCAGTAAAACCTGTGATACCCGGGTCTCCAACAGGTCCTTGAATTGCTTCTCCTGGCTCCCCCTTGACTCCCTGACCACCAGACTCTCCTTTAATACCAGAGGGTCCAGTTGCACCAGTAACTCCGTTATCACCAGCCTCTCCCTTTGCCCCGGTCGCACCATCAGTTCCATTATAACCATCCGTACCAGATGGGCCAGTCGCGCCTGTTATACATATTATTTAGCCATGGTTATTGTTTTCTCAGTCAAATGCATTTTATACATACGCATATGATATACAACTTCGTGATCAGGAAAACATCTGTATTTCTCTTAAATATTGCTTATGAACATAATATCAGCATGGATTTTATTTTACTAACTATATTCATCATCATTAGCTTAGTACACTTAATACCTGAGTTTCCCTTTGTTCCATTTATACCAACACCAGAAGGTCCGGTTGCACCTAAATCTCCAGCTTCTCCTTTACTACCAGATGCCCCACTGTCTCCTTTATTTCCACTATCTCCCGCATCACCCTTCATTCCAGGGTCGCCTGTCTCACCCTTAGCGCCATCACTGCCAGATGGACCAGTTGCTCCTTCTAGACCTGCTTCACCGGGGCTACCAATTTCACCCTTGTCACCTAAGGCACCCTTGGCACCAGTATTACCCGTTGCTCCAGTATCTCCACGTGTGCCTGAAGATCAGTTATAATTGCACCAAATTACAGGGTTGTGAGTATGTTTCAGAACACATGACTGTAAATTGATATACTCCTTGTTGAATATGTAAAACAATCTTATCAATATACTAGTAGATGTCAAAGTGTCTGACATCATCCAAATTAGATGTTTGAAAATAGTGAAAAAAGCATTATACATGAACTTTAATATCCTAAAAAGTATTGTTGATTTTAATAATAGCCATGTCGATTCCGTCAATTTGTTGTATAAGTCTCCGAAATTAAAGTTAAAACACACCATTCGACACAATAAAATGTCATGTAATTGTTGAATGAACCTTATGCTTTGACCACCAGTGCAGCAGTCGAGACACATTTTGGACAATTTAGGAGACACTTGCTTTAATAATATGATTAGAGCAAAAACTGAATTAACTTACCATTTTCGCCAGCTACTCCGGGGGATCCTGTAGGTCCCGTGGCGCCACCTTGTCCATCGGCTCCTAAATCTCCAGCCTCTCCTTTGCTTCCAGAAGGACCCGTAGCACCAACAGCCCCCGATGTTCCATTTACACCGTCAATCCCATCAGATCCTGGGGCACCCTGCTCTCCTTTCTCCCCAGATTCTCCAGCTTCCCCTTTAGCCCCATCGGGTCCGACTGGACCAGTAGCGCCGTCAAAGCCAGTCATTCCATTAAGTCCGTCTGTTCCATCAATCCCCGCAGCGCCTTTATCGCCTTTGACACCAATGCCTGATGGCCCAGTGGATCCGATTACCCCCGATTCTCCTTTATCTCCCTTTGAACCCGCTCCTCCACTAGGTCCAGTTGCCCCGTCTACCCCATCTTGCCCACTGGGTCCAGTGGATCCAATTGTGCCGTTGAACCCAACTTCTCCTTTACTGCCGGGTGTACCAGCAGATCCTGTACATAACAATACAAATTGAACAGGTGAAGAAATAAGTTAGTCTGCGTATATGATATCCCATGATATTATAGGATATCAGTTATTGCAAGAGTAGAACCAATATTTTTCAGAAGACTTACTAATGTTACTTATGTTTTCTATACAATGATCTATACTCAATCAAACTCGATTATGATATTATTTTGCTCTTGTGACTAGGCACATCAGTGCAGTCTACTCTGTACAACCATACATCAAATCTAAAATAAATGCTAGTAACAAGACAGATAGTTCGTACTACTGTGAAAAGTCGAAGGCAAAGTTCCATAATGTCTCCCCGACGTTATTTCAAGATGTTTCAATAAAGATGCATATGATTATGTTGGGGATAAACTATGTGTATTAGGTTTTATGAGGAATGAGAAATAAAGGCCGAGGCTATTTTAAAATTCTCCAAAGACCCAATACGAATGGTTTATCTAACTTGAACCACACACTGGGCACTGACTCTAAAGAAAAGTCTTTTGTGCCACACTTGTTTTGGGTAGTCTTTCTTTTGCTATGGCCGTACATCCTTTAAAATGAACAACAGCTCTTTCTATTGTGACTACTAAAGTGGGGTTTAAGTTTCGTGAAACTAATTTACAGACCTTGCCATCAATGATCATTCAAAGAAGACAATACAAATGATTGGATAAATATTACCCTTGGCTAAATTTAATATAGCAACCATATCTTTAGTTGTGGGCAACCATTTCCGAATTATGATTAGTTTTTTCCAAAACAAAGAAGATTAATAATGTTTTTATGTTTAATGTTCTTGTCATCCATTATCAAAGGAAGTAAGCTTGAGCAAGTCGTCCAATTTAAGTCGATACCTTTCTCGCCGGATTCACCAACTTCTCCCTTATTTCCTGCTTCCCCTTTAGTTCCTGAGACACCAGTTGCTCCAACTGCACCATCCATACCAGAAGGTCCAGTAGCACCATCGGGGCCTTCTTCACCAAGAGCGCCCTTTTCACCATTAGCCCCAGCTGCACCCTTTGTACCATTTGTTCCATCCAACCCAGGTGCACCTTGTGTGCCAGTTGCACCAGTTGGACCCATCACTCCGGGTTCTCCAGAAACACCTAAAATATTTTGAATGTGACAAATATCAATCACAGTGCAACTTAACAATTTTACAGTTGTTCGAAAATGGACACACGTACCAACCTGTTGCACCGGTCAGTCCTGTGGCACCATTAACTCCTGCATTACCATCCGTGCCATTAATTCCTGGTTCGCCTTTACTTCCAGATGAACCCAAATCACCTTTAGACCCAATGGTTCCTTTTTCACCGCGTTCACCCTTGCCTCCTTGTTCCCCTTTTTCTCCAGTTTGGCCCTTGTTACCCTCAGGACCTGTAGCACCCGAAGGACCAATACTTCCTACACCTGTCTCTCCTTTTTGCCCCTTTTCACCAGGAGCACCCAAGGGGCCAGTGGCACCAGTTGCGCCATCATATCCAGCTGCTCCACTTGGACCCGTCGCACCAAGGTCACCTTTAGAACCATCTACGCCAGAAGTTCCTGTTGCTCCAGGGTTCCCAGTGTCTCCTTTTGTCCCCTGTGATCCAGTTGAACCTGAACACACACGCAAAGGAAAAACACATATTGAAACATTTAGACATGATACATATGAAATGAGAAAAAATGATGTGTCAAAAATGCCAGTGCTGAATACAATACAACAATACCTGTTGGCCCAATTGCACCACTAGGACCAGTAGCTCCTAGATCACCTTCAGCTCCATCAACACCAGATACACCTGTAGCTCCCTGAGGACCAACTGCACCACTCATACCAGTTGCACCCAAATCACCTGGAACTCCCGCCTCTCCTTTATTTCCAACTTCACCCTTAGAGCCTGGACTACCCGCAGACCCTTTCTCACCCGACGGGCCAGTGGCACCGATAGGTATTGTCGAGTTTACTGTGGTACACGTGACAGTTACTAAAAAGAAAAACGTATGTAAATTATGTAAACCTCAACTATCACAAACCATAATCTTACTCGAGAAGAAACAATGTCTAATACTCCCTTCCCCACCAGTTAAGTTTCGCCATTGCAATAGGAACAAATATGATTTGATACACCAATACTCATAACATCAAAAATAGTAGTAGATAGATACTAGATTTCAAACAAGATAGGTCGTTCAGTCTCAAATGATGTGGAACGGACAAAGTCAAATTTCTAAGCCCATAAACGTATCAAAGGGTCAACATCCATTCTCTAAGCCAAAGTAATAATCCAGAAAACACAGCATTTCACATACCAGGATCGATCATTGAACAACATGAGTTAACTGAGGAAAGTACACATGCTTCACGTAGCCCAAATGGATAGTTTTAAGAAAAGAGTGTGCACAAAATAAGGCTGGTTAACGTTTACTTTCTCAGAAACTCACTCACCGGCAACGAGGTCAATGTTGTCCACAGCGATATCCCCCATCCAAACTTTGTCCACGTCTCCTGCACCCGCTGTTGCCATTAAAGTAATGCTAAATTCTTCACTTTTGCTAAAACTAACAGTCATCTGACGCCATTCATCTGCTTGGGCATCGCTTCGTTCCCAAATAATGCTATTATTTGAACTACTATCAATGCGCAACGCCATGTTCCCTATATGACTTCCCCACATATGGTAGTACATAGAAAACGTATATAGGCCAGGAGGAAAGGGCGTCTCTAAAGTTGCTAAGTCAACGCCTACTGAATCAGCATCCGTTGCCTCGAATAACAGGTAACTCCCTTGAAATAATACCATTGTCATGTGAAACGATTTATGATAAAAAAAGTAAATCTGTAATTTCAAAGAAGTAATGGCTTGAACAATACTGAAATGGGTTGCTACAGAAACGAGGATACAATATAAATACCTCCACCATCGACGTCATCAGTCGGACCTGTTCCCGGACTTGAGGTACTGCCAGATCTAAGCTGGAATCCCCATGCCCCTTGAGGTGCATTTCTTTGAAAGTTAAATCCACAAGCCCCGTTTTCAAAGTCGCAGTTGAACACGTTGGTTTGTGATGAATTGACACATACTTCCCCTCCTTGGTTGTAACCTGTATTAGTACCGGGTGGGCCAGGAGGACCAGCTGGACCAAGTGAACCTGCGTAGTAAACAAAGAACTGCATTGTGATCGTTCAGAATAATTATCACATAATATTTTGAAATCGATCATTTTATTTGCTTTGTCGTTTGACCCTTGGTCAAGGTTATTTCAATGCTATCAATAGCTTCTTTAGCAGTGAAGCCCGGTCTTGAATTCTTCCTCCTGTACAACGCATTTACCTTTAGGACCTGTAGCTCCTTGAGCTCCTTTTACTCCATCACCCCCTGTCGGTCCAGTAGCTCCAGCCGCACCTAAAACCCCATTAAAAACTTCAACGAAACAGTAAGTTATCTCTATCTTTATTAAAAACATATAACACTTTTTATCACTGAGGGACATCAACAATTTCGCCTTAATACAGGCTGTAAATTCATTTGAAAACATCTACCATGATGTACTGAAATATTCGACTAGTAAAATTTCAAGTATATTTGTATAATTATTTCACCATTGTGGCAAAATTGTTCATCAAAGATAATTAGATGTGATTCATGGACTTAAGCATATTACCCTCTATTTTTTACTTGAAGCTATAGAAGGGGGTTGATAATTTCAGATATGCATGCAAAATAGTATTAATTAGTATGAGGTGCACTGTATACACTTTTCAAACGTTGGAAAATTTTCGACTTAAAGCTAAAACAAAGACGTTTTCCTAAAGGCAACACAAATATTACGAGAGGATTCCCTAGGTTTATTACCATTTTCACCAGCGACGCCGGAGGTTCCGGTAGGTCCAGTAGCGCCATCTGGTCCATCAGCTCCTGGATCTCCAGCCTCTCCTTTACTTCCAGAAGGACCAGTAGCACCTACTGCACCCGATGTTCCATTTGCACCATTAATCCCATTAGCTCCTGGAGTGCCATTTTCTCCTTTCGTGCCCGATGTTCCCGGCTCTCCTTTAGCACCAACAGAGCCAGATGGCCCCGTAGCGCCGTCATTCCCAGTTTCTCCTTTACTACCAGGTGTTCCAGCTGACCCTACATACAACACATATTTGATGAACAAGTGAAGAACTGATAGCAGCAGGATATCGTACAATTCAAAAACCAGAGGGCATTAAATGTGATATTCACCATTTATAAGCATAAAATGCAATGAATTGTTTGATGCCTAGGATAAGTATTAAGAGAAGGTGCATTCATAGAGCTGCATTGAAAATCGAACAGTCACAAAGGTCCCAAAGAAAATCATGTTCGTTATTTGCATCGGATTTCTTCCGACTTTTATTTCATGGCACTTTATGAGACTCGAGCCCCAAAGGACTTCGGAGAACTCGACTGGGTAAGGATATATTAAGTAATGTTTGTGAAGAGTGGTCATCAAAAGGAATACAGAACTACAGACAGCCAAACATCTGTTGGAAGTCAGGTCTTTAATGAATTACAACATCAAACTGATGATTATTCTGTCATTTGTCTTCCTTCATCCTGCCCCAACAAGCTACTGTAATATTAAGCCATATACGTTTATACATGTACCTTTCTCTCCAGTTCCACCAGCTTCTCCCTTACTGCCTGTTGGACCTGTTGCACCATTAGATGACTCAGTGGAATTACCATTAGGTGACTCAGTGGAATTACTATTAGGTGACTCAGTGGTATTACCATTAGGTGACTCAGTGGAATTACTATTAGGTGACTCAGTGGTATTACCATTAGGTAACTCAGTGGAACTACCATTAGGTGCCTGAGTGGTATTACCATTAGGTAACTCAGTGGAACTACCATTAGGTGCCTGAGTGGTATTACCATTAGGTAACTCAGTGGAACTACCATTAGGTGCCTGAGTGGTATTACCATTAGGTAACTCAGTGGAATTACTATTAGGTGACTCAGTGGTATTACCATTAGGTAACTCAGTGGAACTACCATTAGGTGCCTGAGTGGTATTACCATTAGGTAACTCAGTGGAACTACCATTAGGTGCCTGAGTGGTATTACCATTAGGTAACTCAGTGGAAGTACCATTAGGTGCCTGAGTGGTACTGTTTATTTCTGATGAGGCATTTTCAGGGCACGTGACACCTTCTGGAAAAAATTAAATACAGATGGAAATGACTTATGTATCGACGACTAACAACTGGAACACAAGGGCAGGCTGGAGAAATTTTATGATCAATGATATACTGGTATTAAAAACTAAATAAATCTAAGGATCCGGACGTTTGTGTTGTAGCAATGGGTGTCAATGGAATGTATTTTTTTGGTCTTAAAGTGACATAACAACAGCACCTTTCCTTGTAAAGCCTCAAAGAACTATATACAGGGTGGTCCAAAAAAAATGTGACACTCGTATTTCAAAAATAAATATTGATTTTCTTGATGGAAACATGTCATATTATATACCAGTGGATGGGGAATTTACTTATCTTTAATTTTGTAGATCATACGTTCAAAATTATAATGTGTCTGTCAACCAGCGTCTGTAATATAAATGGCGTCATTTTCATTTCAAAACGGGTTTTCCAAAACTTGCAAAAACAAGTTTTATTGTTAACTTTATTTACATAACCAGACGTTCAATATGTCCACCATTTTGATCAATTATAGCCCTCAATTTTGGCCTAAATTTGCCAATAGCATCATTGATATGCTGTTAAGACAATCACTTCTCATTAATTAAATCATGTCCTCAAGAGACGGAATAGATGTAAAGGATTCATGGTACACCAATTCTGTTAGTTCTTGCCTTACATGGTAGTCACAGACGTTGGTGAACGTGTGCTCTAGGGGAGGCAGTGATTAGGGGGATGAATCTAGGCATATTTTCTTTGACCCTCTTGTGAGATCTAGTGCTTGGAGCAAGTTTTTGCAAGTTTTGGAAAACCTGTTTTGAAACTTAAATGACGTTATTTATATAACGCACGCTGGTTGACAGACATTATCCACTGCTATATAATATGACATGTTTTATCAAGAAAATCAATATTTATTTTTGAAATACGAGTGTCCCAATTTTTTGGACCACCCTGTACTAGTGGGCTATGGGGCACGATGAGACCTTTTAGACTAATATTATTGAGACCTTGTGAGATCCGATGGGACTAAATGAGGCATCATTCTCATTATGTTGGGTTTTAGTCTATGTTCAAAAATGGTAACGTTATAAGGCAACATATATGGGGACATATGTCATGATACTTACGTCGCCATATACACTTACCGAAGATTAAGTTAATATTGTCTATGGCCATGTCTCCTTGCCATACTTCTGACAGAGATCCTTCATTTGCTGTTGCCATAAAAGCAATGTTAAACTCCTCGCTTTGGTTGAAATTAACGGTCATCTGTCGCCATTCATCAAATTGTGGCTCACTTTGTTCCCAAATTATGCTGTTATCTGAACTAGTTTCAATGCGTAACTCCATTTTCCCCAGTTGTCTCCCAAACATGTGGTAGTACATCGAAAAAGTATATTGGCCAGGAGGAAAAGGCGTCTCTAAAGTCGCTAAGTCAACGCCTAGTGAATCAGCATCCGTTGCCTCGAATAACAGGTAACTCCCTTGAAATAATACCATTGTCATGTCAAACGATTTATGATTGATGGAAAAGTGGATCTGTAATTTCAAAAAAGTAATAGCTCTGATTTATGATAAATTGGATCTGTACTTTTAAAGAAGTAGGGGCTTTAACAATACTGAAATGGGTTGTGTCGAAAGTTCGGATATAATATAAATACCTCCACCATCGATGTCATCAGTAGGACCTGTTCCTGGACTAGGGGTACTGCCAGATTTAATCTGGAATCCCCACACCCCTAGAGGTGCATTTCTTTGAAAGCTAAATCCGCAAGTCCCGTTTTCAAAGTCGCAGTTGAACACGTTCGTTGGCGGTGAATTGGTACATACTTCTTCTCCAGCGTTGATATCTGTAGAAGTGAAAAGCGTTCATTATATAATACTTGTCTATTTATGATTATAATTATACTTTAATATTGCCTACTGATAGATAACCTTAGGAATATGTATAACTAGATTAGTGAAATTGAACAAGTTCAAATTCAAGACTCCAGATTCCAGACTTTTTATTTGAAATGACTTAGCTTTTAAAATTGACCCCAAAAACTCATAATTTGGAGTTTACTGACTTTTTAAGGTCATTCTACAAGGGTCGTTCGAAAGGTTTTGCACGATAGCTTCTCAAGAGAAGAAATATTATTATTTTTACATGAAATTTCTTACAAATATAATATGAGTCATCTTATGAGTCATAATATGAGTCATATCTGAAATTTCAGAACCATGCGCAATACACTTCCAGAGATATATTGACTTTAAAATTTGAACCAATGCTCCCATTGTCCATATGACGTCATTAAATTGAATTCATTTTGTGAATGCCTTGAAAGGCTCAAATTATTTGGTCAATCTTTGTTCTTTGAACTGTTATTCAGATTATGTTAAAAATGATTTATAAATATTTTGGTTGTGAATATGATCAGTTTTAAGTTTCAAAACACATATTACATGTACAAAGATTTCCTGGAGGGTCAATCTGGAAAATTGTTAAAAAAACTATGATTTTGTTAAGGAGATCATCAACCAATTAATCTGTGATTTGTTTTGTAAGTATTTACTTTTGATATACAATTTCAATATTATACTAAAATTGATTTAAGAAGCCCTTTGATGTTATAATATGTTTGTTGTTCATAACTGAAGTATTCTTTAATAGTTATGCAGAAAGAAAATTTTATTTTTGTGTCATGAAATACTAGGTCATGTAATATGTATAAGGACAAGAAATGAGGGTTTTACTGGCACTGTTTGACTGACATCAAAAAAAGTACAATTTAGCTTCATGTGATAACAGATGAGTTGTCTTGGGGATGACTTGTCTAGGGGATGACTTGTCCAGGGGATGGCTTGTCTTGGGGATGAGTTGTCCAGGGATGAGTTATCTAGGGGCTGAGTCGTCCGTAAGCCCTTTGAAATTCACCCTTAATTAATTAAAATCAATTGGTAAAATCATTATCTAGACAGAGATGGGGAATTGTTTAAAATACTTAAATGAACTTGAAAATGATTCCTAGCAAGATATTCTGAGAGAAAATTGAAAATTTGGGAAACTTGAAAAGTTGACCTAGATTTTGACCTTTGATCTAGATAAAAATTTGACCAAATCTACCAGAAAGTAGATCACATATCCTAACTGATGATGTAGACTGAGAAAACTTGCTTCAGCAATATATGAGTGTGAAAATTTCACAAACTTCAAAAAAAATGCGTACCTTAAGGTAGGTTTTTTAATTTTGGAACTTTATGAGGTATAGAACCTTAGTAGAACCTTACATCTGTCATGTACAGTCGGTCTCGGATACGGAGTTTATCCCTTATAAAAAAACAACCAGTACAAAACCCTCATATATATACTTACTTTGGGTAGGCATTGGGCAGAGAAATCTAATTTCATAGTCCAAACATTGAGAAACTGGTTCCTGTTCACTGTTGACACACACCAGCCCACCTTCTACTGAACAATCAGCACCTTCTTTAAATACCTGACCAGTTTCTGAAGCAGGGATATGGGTTCCTACTGTCCTGCATTCTATTGCTTCTGGGTTCTGGCATGGCATGCTCTGGAAAATGTATTTACATAAAAGTGTCTGCGTGCTTCAAGCACCTAAATCTCAACTTTATATGTTCTATTTTATATTTAAAAGATTCGCTCAAAAGCAGATTAAACTGTCATCATTGGTAACCATTCTGAGACCAGGATGTAACCTTAACCCGCATGCCATTTAAATATTAGACAATCCGTCATCCACTTACTCCTCCGAGTCCCTTCTCCAGGTTCTCTCTATCCTCCGAGTCTGCAGTATCATCAGGATCATCTCTGCTTATCCACGAAGACCAGGCTGCTGTAAACATAATTTAGTGTTAGAATGTCGATGTCAAATTTTCAATTGCAATTTGTCAGTGTCAATTTTAAGGGCCTAAGTATTTACTTACATTTCAAGTACCACAATACTGTCAAAAGGACGATTTAAGTTATCTCACGCTCGCCCTGCCTCTACATAGAGCCATTTATCAAGATTGAATTACATATATCTTGTTTTTGTTTCTTGTTTAGATAGTTTGGAACTTTAATGTAACATTGGCCTTTACAATGATGCATAGCTATATAGTCCAACTGCCATCGTAACCGTTATTTCTAACTTATCAAATTAGAGATGCTGATATTTTACAAATCAGTATTCAAGATACTTTTGAATGTGTGAAAATTCAATGAAAATTATTAAAAAGCATTTTTCTGCCAACTTATTGAACAACATTGTATATATGTTGTTTTTAAGGGGGGGTGTCCATGTTTGTTCACCACCCTGTATTGTTGGCATCAGAATGTCATCAAAATGTAATATTCCTTTGGGAGCAACAAATATGAGTGAATGTAAAATTTTGAAAGCAACATTTTTACAAGGACACAAGTGTACAACATGTCCCCAACTACACACGATCTTTTGTAGATTTTCAATCTAGAGTCTAATAAAGATAATCTTTTGTATATGACTGCAAAAAGATCGGCTCCAAGGGTTCCGACTCAATATTCAACCTTGACGTTGATCGATATAGACATCGAAAATGTCGTTATTTCTGACATTTTATCTGACTATAAATCAATAAATAGTGATCCTAACTAACTAATTATATCTTCATCACTTATTGTGTGTTTTGAATTTTCTCTTTGGAAATAAGACCAAATTCTGAAGGGCAGGAGATCATTCTAGCAATTTACCTGAATCTATTACAACTCCAAATGACGATTTCGAAGGCAATGCTAGAGTATCAAACTCGACGGAATCATCTATGTTGAAATTCCCATTTATATCTGTTTTATACATGTAGACAAATGCATTGTTGGGGTCCCAGTCGAAAGTTATTGGACCTTCTTCTGAATTATATAACCATCCGATGTGATCTCCGTCAGAGATGGGGAATTGTTTAAAATACTTAAATGAACTTGAAAATGATTCCTAGCAAGATATTCTGAGAGAAAATTGAAAATTTGGGAAACTTGAAAAGTTGACCTAGATTTTGATCTTTGATCTGGATAAAAATTTGACCAAATCTACCAGAAAGTAGATCACATATCCTAACTGATGATGTAGACTGAGAAAACTTGCTTCAGCAATATATGAGTGTGAAAATTTCACAAACTTCAAAAAAAATGCGTACCTTAAGGTAGGTTTTTTTAATTTTGGAACTTTATGAGGTATAGAACCTTAGTAGAACCTTACATCTGTCATGTACAGTCGGTCTCGGATACGGAGTTTATCCCTTATAAAAAAACAACCAGTACAAAACCCTTATATATATACTTACTTTGGGTAGGCATTGGGCAGAGAAATCTAATTTCATAGTCCAAACATTGAGAAACTGGTTCCTGTTCACTGTTGACACACACCAGTCCACCTTCTACTGAACAATCAGCATCTTCTTTAAACACCTGACCAGTTTCTGAAGCAGGGATATGGGTTCCTACTGTCCTGCATTCTATTGCTTCTGGGTTCTGGCATGGCATGCTCTGGAAAATGTATTTACATAAAAGTGTCTGCGTGCTTCAAGCACCTAAATCTCAACTTTATATGTTCTATTTTATATTTAAAAGATTCGCTCAAAAGCAGATTAAACTGTCATCATTGGTAACCATTCTGAGACCAGGATGTAACCTTAACCCGCATGCAATTTAAAATATTAGACAATCCGTCATCCACTTACTCCTCCGAGTCCCTTCTCCAGGTTCTCTCTATCCTCCGAGTCTGCAATATCACTAGGATCATCTCTGCTTATCCACGAAGACCAGGCTGCTGTAAATATAATTTAGTGTTAGAATGTCGATGTCAAATTTTCAATTGCAATTTGTCAGTGTCAATTTTAAGGGCCTAAGTATTTACTTACATTTCAAGTACCACAATACTGTCAAAAGGACGATTTAAGTTATCTCACGCTCGCCCTGCCTCTACATAGAGCCATTTATCAAGATTGAATTACATATATCTTGTTTTTGTTTCTTGTTTAGATAGTTTGGAACTTTAATGTAACATTGGCCTTTACAATGATGCATAGCGATATAGTCCAATTGCCATCGTAACCGTTAGTTCTAACTTATCAAATTAGAGATGCTGATATTTTACAAATCAGTATTCAAGATACTTTTGAATGTGTGAAAATTCAATGAAAATTATTAAAAAGCATTTTTCTGCGAACTTATTGAACAACATTGTATATATGTTGTTTTTAAGGGGGGGGTGTCCATGTTTGTTCACCACCCTGTATTGTTGGCATCAGAATGTCATCAAAATGTAATATTCCTTTGGGAGCAACAAATATGAGTGAATGTAAAATTTTGAAAGCAACATTTTTACAAGGACACAAGTGTACAACATGTCCCCAACTACACACGATCTTTTGTAGATTTTCAATCTAGAGTCTAATAAAGATAATCTTTTGTATATGACTGCAAAAAGGATCGGCTCCAAGGGTTCCGACTCAATATTCAACCTTGACGTTGATCGATATAGACATTGAAAATGTCGTTATTTCTGACATTTTATCTGACTATAAATCAATAAATAGTGATCCTAACTAACTAATTATATCTTCATCACTTATTGTGTGTTTTGAATTTTCTCTTTGGAAATAAGACCAAATTCTGAAGGGCAGGAGATCATTCTAGCAATTTACCTGAATCTATTACAACTCCAAATGACGATTTCGAAGGCAATGCTAGAGTATCAAACTCGACGGAATCATCTATGTTGAAATTCCCATTTATATCTGTTTTATACATGTAGACAAATGCATTGTTGGGGTCCCAGTCGAAAGTTATTGGACCTTCTTCTGAATTATATAACCATCCGATGTGATCTCCGTCTTTGACCAAAGGATAAGGTTTCTCTGTAAGAACCTGCAAATAAATATATAGATTTAAAGGCATAGTTTTCATTTTCATTAGTTTATAAAGCACAAGAAGAATGCCAAAATACAGTCTGACTCTTATTGTGAATTTCGAGTGCCCGAATGTGATCGTGTTGTAGCTAGTGAAGACTTACCGTTATGTTCCCACCCCCTGCTTTGGTGAAGTTGACAGCCTGTCTGTAGAGCAGCGTAAAAGTATAAGGATCTGATGTAGGTCTCCACAGAAACACCTCCCCATCAGATGTACCGCTGGATTCTAAAAGTAACCTTGTATTTTCAGAAGCTGCTAATGTAATGTCTTTGTTCCACTAAATCAATAGAATGATTTTGATACAAAATTTCGATAGAGCAATTTTGTAGATAACTCAAAACAAATATGTGAATGAATTAAACTAACGCAATTAGATTAGGCATTTATGTGGATTGGGAAACTTACGACTAGATATATACATATGGAAGGCCGTGACGTATCCAGCTGTCAGATTGAAAGAGGGGTCGACCCATGCTTTACCAGCACCCCCACTGGTCGTCAGCTCAGCTCTGTCAACAATAGAGTTGCCAACAAACGTCACCGACCCTAAAAAAAACAAAAACACATGATCGATATTTGGAATTTACATTTACTGTTTTGCTTATATTTTAATGTGTTACATTTACTCAGTAGCTCAAAATAATTTTTTCGCTCCAAATTTTCAATGAACTATGAGTTCGTATCTAACATTTTCTGTATGTGGGTCTTTTACGATAAGTGATAAATCGGGGAAATCGAGGAACCGAAATAACACAATTATGGAGATAATTATGAGGGGAAATATTATATTTTATGATTACGTGTGCGGCTTCATTGTATCTATCATGTCTTTTCGTGAACTTAGGAAGATCCTGGTTAAAGACCATGAGTTATTTGTAGAATGAATCGTGTGGGTTTTTCATGCATTTTGCTTGTGTTCTTATCTAAAAACATCAATATCACGGTGCTCAAGTCTAAACAATGTGGACGTGATTTTCAAACGATTTAGACGTGTTTTGTAAGAACATGGAATACGACATTCGTTAGAATGGAGCAAAAAGGTAATCTATATTTTACAAATTAACATTACTTGACTTCTACCTATGTTCTTCTTCATACCCACGTATCTATTTTGCCGATTATTCCATCATACTTCATAGTTCTCGAAATTATATACCAAAAATGCTAAAAATATGTAATAAAATTGCATTTAGTGTTATTTAATTAAGTTTAAACAGACTATCCATTTAACAACGTGGAATAATATTCACTAAAGATCTAAAGATGGTGTTTATATCCATTCAATTAAACACAAAGTAATGTAGTTGCCATTGATAAAATCATTATAAATTATTTCCAAAATTATGTTACAAAAGGTGGGTGTCATTTTTTGTATATGATCCAGTTGTGACAGCAAAGGAATGGACAACACCTTTTGTAACACTCATACATATGCATCTAGGTGAGCTAGTCATCTGAAACTTCTTGTGGAGTTGCGAAATGGATTATAGTTTTCATGTGCGAAAAAAACAATTCAGAATTTTTTCAGACAAAAAAAGTTATGAAACATTATGTGGCTGGGTGTCATTTTTTATGTCACGCAGTAGAAGCCTTGTCCACTGGGACTAATACAAACTTTTTAGAAAGTTATTTTAAATATTTACCCTTAGGCTTATTTTGACATTTAAGTTTCATTATTGTTCTATTAACAATGTCCCCAACTTTCAATACCTGCACTTTTTAAATTATGAAATCTTTAACCATACTGATGCCCAAAAATAATCTACATTTTTTACATCAATAATGATCACTTTAACACAGCAGATATGCAACCTTTATGTTATGCGGTGTGCATCATACCGAATCAACCGTGCCGACGCAGTATCCGGAGATGATGACAAGATAGACAGTACATATTTATAGTATATCCAGTACATATGTACAGTGCATACACCGTATCGGTATAATATTGCCTATAAATACTTCACAGGATTGCCGAATTTGAATTTACTAGGACAATAGGGCTTGGATGCTTAAAACAGATAAAATCAAATTTCGAAGTAATAAGTTTCAACCCAGTTTTTCACTTATTTTGAAATGAGGCCGGCCGGCGGGTTTTTAACTTTGAATGCCATTTTTTATTCTCGAATGATTTTGTACGATTGTGTAAATGTATTCATAATGACAAGCTTTGCCAAGATTAGAACCTACATGAAGGCAGGCTACATACTTGTACCATGAGCCTACTTAAATATAACATATAAATATTAGGCAGTATAGCATAACATAATCATAATGATATAATTATTTATATTACTTATTAATGTTTCATCATAGGTTCAAAAAGGGGCTGAGGCAATGACTATCATATAGGGTTATCCCCAAAACAAGCCCTCTAATATCTGTCCAAACACCTTTATTTTTAAAAGAACACACTCTACAGTGTGTCCCATAAAAAACGCAACAAACAAAAACATTGTAAAATCACAAAACCAGTGATGATAACATCAATTTGATTTAGTTTACCAGGAAGCCACATGTCTCCTCTTTCCAATGGTATGTCAGTTATTCATATAAAACCATGGACCACTGAATAATCATTCCTTTTGCACAACGTGCCAAAATCTGTTCTGGGCCAAGTTTTAGACATTGCAACAAAGAGTCACCAATGAGGTTGCTGCCCTCCGCCAGAACCCCAGATGATTCAAAGAGGTGTGCGACATGGACACAAAGGCCAGTCTCAGTGTTAAATAGTGGTCATGCGAAAGGGCATGGAATGTAATCTTTCATAAGTAATCTTTCATAAGATGACAGACAATGACTGTCTATGCCACTTTTTTTCCATATGTCTTGCATTTTGTTACCTGAACCAACAAGAATACTGATGAATACTTAAAGTTAAATTTTCTTTTCATTTTTTCTTACTAAATCTAAATCAGAAACTTGTGTTATGTAAATTTTGTGACAAAAATTTAATCCCCAGTACCAATTACATAATGATTTACCTGATTGCACAATTAAGGATCAGTTGATTGATATTTCATTACTTGGCACAAAGGCCTTTTCACCCATGTACGAAAAAACAATGATTTTTCAGTGGTCCATGATCAGATATGAACAAATAACATACCATTGTAAAGGGGAGACACGTGGCTTCATGATAAACTAAATGAAATTGATGTAATCATCACTGGTTTTGTGATTTTACAATGTTTTTGTTTGTTGCGTTTTTTATGGGACACACTGTATATGTATAGTTGATAATTTAATATTACAAAATCTTAAAAAACAGTAGTAGGTTAGTAATACAAAAATACATGATATGGTATGTCCTGTGGTGGATCGCTGTGAAAAACTGGCACGTGTTACCAGTCATGAAAGTACCGTTTCGTAATTGCAAAATTTTATTGGATCTGGACATCTCGGCCCAAGATGTTAACATATTAAAAAACACATTTTGAGATATTTTCGAATATGTATACCGTTCATTTCTACTCAGACAAATACGAAGGATTCATATCATCAGAGGCAAATATATGTGTATGTCTCTTATATCATATAATACCTTGAGCATTATTTTGACTTCATACTTCATACTGATTTCATTTTTGTAGGTCATTTTCTTTTTATTCACTGGCTTTTTGAACAGCGTCATTAGGAATGGATTTGAAAGTATATTGAATATTGTCCCGTAGGCCAAAATAAAAGGGAGGTCAAGCTACACATTTTTTAGCAGAAATTGTACGTTAACGTCTGGGACTATGGTCCTCTGGAGATTTCTTCTCCCCTTCGCATCACATTCAAGTGAGTCATGACATCACACAATCACTTACAAGTTCTTTTAAAAACGTGTACCTTAACCTCCTCATCTAAATGCCCTTTATGTAAAAAAAATACATGTACTATACTGCTATATGCAAGCTACAAAATACAGAAATATTTTGAGATAAAACATGTTATTTTTAGGAGTTCCCTGTTCTATTCACTAGTACCAAAATGGTTAAATATCATGAAGAAGTTTAAGATTATGATTACATTCTGATATTTTTCATTATCAATGTTTTTGATTATATATTCATAAACCTTCCTGGTATTTGATTGGCTAATATCTTGATAGAAATTTTCTTTCCATTTTCTGCAATTTGTTTTACAAATCGTTCATTTGCATAAATCTCATAAAAGAAACTAGACTATTCAATGTAATCGTTTGTTACGAAACGTTAGCATACACAAGTATAGTAAATCAAAGTCAAAGCAGTGTTCTTTTATTTTACGTCTTAACCAAAGATGATTGGAAGCCAGAGTTCCAGAGTGACATTTACCTGGCTATAAATTCACAATCAGCATTCAAAATACTGAAACTAATGGTCATACATTAAGCCACTAATGATCTTGATCATTTCTTGTATTTCTTTATTTTATCTTTTTTGTTTGGTAATAAGACCAAAACTTTCCATTCAAATTTTGAAGTGAGAAATATGACTCCGGGACTAACGCTAGCTTTGTTAGACAATATCGATGGTGCATTCTGGCTTCCAATTCTCCTTGGTCTAAACCAAGGAGGATTGGAAACTAGGAAACTGAATGGTCGATATTTTCAGTAGCAAAATGAGGAGATAACTAATTTTTTACTATTCTACATGATTTTGTTTTTGCTATGGTTATTCATGGTTTCGTTATTCAGTACTTCCGTTGCGTGTTCTCGTGAGTTAAGGAATATGACATATACTTGAAACGACCTTTACTTATAGTAAACACCTCACTAGACTAGCACGAGACCAATTATTGATTTGAATAGGAATATTTGTAAAATATGTAAAGATCCGGTAGAGGAAGATGAAACATATTTTTGTTTAAATGTAAAACAATTAAAGAATATCAGACAATCTTACATTGAAAAACTTGAAAACCTGTGCTATAATAAAAAATGAGTGATCATCATAAGACAATTTTTCTTTTGAAGAGCGAGGGAATCATATCAAAAGAAACGGCTGACATGATACATAACGTCATGATTGGTAGAGATAGGATCCTGATACCAAAGTAACAGTCTACAGTTTGGCCCTAGAAGGTCATCAGTCCAAAAAATCTATTATAGATTATAATCTTATAAGCATATATTTTAGTTGAATATGGTATATGTTTTAGTCGAATATGGCATACATTTTAGGTGAATATGGCATATATCTTAGTTTGATATACCATTTATCGGTAGCCTGTTAACCGAATTACAGCATCCCAAAAAACACTTTTTTTATCGTTATATTAACCTAATACTCGTACTCCTAAGCGAGAGAAGGGGTAGGTAGGTGGGGTCTACATTAAGTTCCATTACCTTGACTAGATCTGCATAATAAGCACAGTGTGGCCACTGACAGCAGGGCCGTCGAAGATGTGAAATACGGCATTAGCCTGGAATAAATCAACAAAATCATATTCATACTTTGTCAAACTAAAATGTATGTGCAAACCACAAATTTAGTCATGCCTTTTGCCCTTGTGATCCACAGAGATTTGATGACTATCACAAAATATGTGTTATCAAAATAGAAGCTACCATTTCATACACTTGAATTAAATTTTAATTTTCATATTAATCATTTCTTTAAAGATTATCCAGTTTTTGTATTTTGTTATTAACAGAGGTGATTATTAATGTGTTTGTGTAATAGCCTTTCGCCAACATTTTTCCAAATTAAGGATGGGTCAAACCTTACCGCTATTAGCGCTCCCTGGAGCCTCGTCTCCGTGAGATGTAAGACTGTTATGAAAGCTCCCTGGAGCCTCGTGTCTGTGAGATATACAGATAATCCAATGCTTTTTCCACTTTTGTTAATCTAATCCCTTAGAGGAGTACTTTACATACCGCTTCGTCATCAATCAACACGACGACTTAACGATACTTTTGGGCGGACCGTGTTTAGCAAACGACCTGAGCTCGGTATGAAATCGTACGCATGGTTGGCAACTTTGGCTGTCTTACAGGAGCTTGTGTAACCAACATGTATTTAACAAACTCGACGTACATTTAAATGTATTTGGCAATCGTTAAATACAGTTAGTTTATGGGGTTACTGAGCATGCATACTCATGCTTTGATTTTTAAGCTATGTAGTCAAGTGAATCCGGGTTGATACCATTAGAATGGAACTGATATGATAGTGTGTACTTTAAAATCGAAGTTACACAATTAATTATCCGTATTGTACTGAGCTTTTATTACAAAACATTATATTCATCACGGGCTATTCTATTCACCCCGCCCAAAAAGGTTTGACTTCCCGTGCTTGTTTATGTTTGATTTCAGCTCACTCAACCTGTCGTGACAATACTAAGTGAGAAATCTGGTCATTTCCTCGATTACAAAACAAATGGTGCGATGGGGGTAAATTATATCACGGGATAAGTCAGTCCACAAAAATATTTCCATATTCAAAACTCTAACTTTTTATATTGCTTTCAGATTTTTAAAATTTTTAAAATCAAGCAATTTCGTATTTTTAATGCGCGATTTCTTTAAAGCGGTAGAAGCCCAAATGGCTTTTTTACGATTATAGAGAAACCTAACAATTACTTCGAACAATCCTGGCTTCCAACAGAAAATGCGGAAGAATAATTGATTTACCCATTGCATGGAGTGGTTTATTTTGTCTTAGATTTAATAAGCAGCTTTATTAGGTTCAACTTTTGCACTTTACCAAAAATAGACGTTCTTACTCATGTAATTAGGCACATGGATTTCTTTTTTTTTAAATTCTAAATTATAAAAAACTCATACATTTTATTTTTATGCTCGGTGAAAACTATTTACTTCGCCTATTGTCATACCACAATTATTCATTTTCTGTGTGTAATTTTAGTTTATTGACCTCTTAGATAAAGAGAGTTACATTACACGTACTTGTATTAATGACATTACATTACATTACGATCCAAAATAAATTTGTGCATCTGTATGAGGTCCAGCGTCCGAGTCACATGAGACTTATACATTAGAACATATCCTAAAGCTCACCCAAAGAGTAGTATCAGACTCAAACATTATATTAGTCTTTTACTGATATTTACATGAATATGCAGAAAATGTTATGAATCTGTATTTCTATAAACAGAATTGAAGAACTGAATATATGTTGTGACCCTTTTATTTTATTCTCTATTTAACTCTAAGTGCAATACCATTGTAATATAATACTGTACTTAATATAAACATAAACTAAACTAGATTATCTAAATAAACTGTATAAATTAAAAGATGTCGTATACACAATGTATTTTACTACGAAAGTCAGAATGAATGTACAGCAAGAATTATTTCTATTATTTCATTTATGTATAATTATTTAATTGCCGCTAATGTTGTAAAACTTTGGCAATCAGCTGACTGTGTATATCTATGTTATTATTTGAAATAAATCGATAATATGAAAAAAAAATGTACAGCAAGGGACAATATGATATTTCCCGAGGGCCCGGTCGGAGGGCCAGGGGGAAATATCATATTGTCACGAGGAATAAACCCACATGTAATCACGGCCAGTAATAAGCTTTTTATCCAATGATATTCATGACAAACTTCATAAAATCATTATAGCTTAAAATTCATATCTGATTTTGTATGAAACAAAACCAGACTATATATTTAGTCTATGACATTTTGAAACTTAAAAAAGTTGTAATACAACATAAGCACATCAGCATAAAGAATTGACAATACGTATAAATGTCAATCACAGGGCAGATTTCAGTTTTACAGGCAGTATGAATTGTAATTCCAGCATCATGCTCTGACACAGTCAACGTCATAGAAATCCAAGCAATATGAATGCGAATGCCCTATGCACTGGTAATCCGCTCGATTACGCTGGTTACCAAAACGGTTCGTTTTGGTAACAAAATGTCGGAACGTCGAAGGTACGATTTTTCCTTATTTTTATTTTATTTTTTTTCAATTCAATTCAATTCAATTATTTATTTCATAATTCTTATATAATATACACTATAAAAACAAGCCGCTAGACACCCTAGTGGGTATATGTTGCGGTTTAACAGAAATCATTAAAATGACAACTAGACTACATATAAACGAAAACACTTATATTATGTTACATGTAGGTATATAAAAATGGTATTAACAATTAATCTAAGGATGTACAATGTAAAAATGTTACAAAAATCGGGTACCAGTATAAAATCAACAGTATAGTATGATTTGGTATTATACATTATCGATAGATGAGTAGTTTTTTATATGAAGATTTGAAAATATTTAGAGTGGAGCATTTTTTAATATCATGTGGTAGAGCATTCCAAAGATTAGGACCCAGATAGCGAAGGGAAAGTTTAGAGCATTTAGGGATATGAAAATAATGCAATTGTCTTGTGTAATGATGATGAATATTAATGTTGATATCAAACAAATCTTGAAATAGATTTTTTGGAAGACTGGGGTGCTTATTAAAGATTTTGTACATGAACTGACCAGTACAATATCTGTTGACATCAAAAATATTTAATATTCTAAGATCTTTAAATAGGGGAGCGGAGTGAGAAAGTCTATCCTTATTTAAAGCTAGCCTTAAGAATTGTTTCTGCAGTTTATGTAGACGATCATAAAATGATTTAAATGTGTTACCCCAGATTATGTTGCAATAATTTAATTGAGAGTGTATCAATGAGTAGTAAATTGTTTTGAAACTGTCTATTTGAAGTAGATGTTTAATGTGATAAAGAGATCCAATGACGCAAGAAATCTTTGTTTCAACAGATTTTATGTGCTCTTTAAATTTCAAGTTTTTATCAATAATAATTCCAAGAAAGTCAATTTTTTCCCGGAAAGTTATGTTCTCATTGCGTATTTTAAGATTCAGATTTGTTTGATTTTTTTGGGGTCCAAATAGAATAGCATTGGTTTTGCCAATATTAAGTGAAAGTTTGTTTGCTTTTATCCAGTCATCTATTGAATTCAAGTTTGCATTAGTTCTAGTCATAAGTTCATTTAAATCATAATCACTATCAAGAAGATTGGTGTCATCAGCAAACATAATAAATTTTAGATTAGGGGCAACAAAAGGCAGATCATTTATGTAAAGAATAAATAATAGTGGTCCAAGTACCGAGCCCTGCGGAACACCACAATTTAGAGATGATCTTTTAGATTCATAATTGTTAATGGTGACATATTGTTTGCGGTCTTTTAAATAACTTTCAAACCAGGACTTAGCTATTCCTCTGATGCCATAATATTCAAGTTTTTGTATCAAAATGTCATGATTAATTGTGTCAAAGGCCTTGGAAAAATCTAACGTTATGCCAATGCTCGTTTTCCCCAAATCAGTTGATTTTCGAATTTGTTCAATGAAATATAAAATGGCCATGTAGGTAGAGTTGAATTTCTGAAATCCAAATTGATAAGTAAAAATAATTTCAAAACGTTCTAAAAAACCAGTAGGTTTGGCGTGCATGAGCTTTTCTAACAATTTAGAAAATACAGATAAAACTGAAATTGGTCTATAGTTCGAAGGATTTGTAGTGACACCTTTTTTAAATACAGGTGTTACTTTGGCCAATTTGAGGGCGTCTGGGAAAATACCAGATTTAAAAGATAAGTTAAATATATACAAGAGTGGATCAATTAAAAACTGTCTTGCAGACTTAATAAGTGATGGTAGAATCCCATCAGGTCCAGGCGAGGAAGATTTTAGAAGACACATTTCTAATTCAAGCTCAGTTTTTGAGGTGATTTCACGCGTTTTAGGCAGAATCCCCACGACGCTTTTTCTCACAAACGTGTATCAGCATCATATGTTTTAGAAAATGTACATGTTTGCGAAAACATAGCTCAGAAGACAACAGAATCGTCGATTTAATTCCTCACTTAAGTTACATACGAGTAAACGGTTTGGGTTAAAGAGTGCAGATCTTAACCGTTTTTCGAAAAACCGTTTATGTAACTTAAGTGAGGAATTAAATCGACGATTCTGTTGTCTTCTGAACTATTTGTTCAGAGGAACGCAGAAATATAGTCATTGTATGGGCTAGTTCGTTCGAAAATGGCGATATGTACCCCAGAACTTGAATTTTGTGATTTTTTCAATATTTTTCAATGATTTACCGTAGTGACACCTTGTCCTGAGGTCATTCTCATATACTCTATCTCTGCCATATCTCCACAGGTAAGGACATTTTAGACGATGAGTACAGGTTTCCCCACAACGCAATAGTGGCCACTGGGTATGTTATTTAAATTACTGTAACATTGTGACTATCAATCTGATGGTCATGAAATATAGCGGGCTGGTAGCAAATTGAATGATGTACAAACGTGTAAAATATCAGGGAGTTATTTTTTAAAATGACATTTTTTGACCACCCTTGTATATGATAGCAAGTATAACTAGACATGTAAATTGAACAAGTTCAATTTAAGACTCCAAATTTCAAACTTTTTTTAAGCTGAGTCATCCAGAACTTGTAAGCTGAGCCATTCAGAATAAGCTGAGTCAGCTAGAATATAGACATTTAGACAACTTTTAAGAAGGTTATCTTCGACTCTATTGGCTTAACATGGGGATATCATCATATCGACTTTTCGAGATTTCAAACCGCTATAACTATCTAAGAAGTTAGATCGAAATTTGGTTTAAAGATTCTGATTCCTGAGAAAATTCTACCCTTAATTCATAACTCATACGTTAAATTTGGAGAACGTTTTATTTTGACCTACATTTCGGACACCATATCTCAAAAGTGGGTCAAAAAACTTTCTGACGGCAAAGGCTAACACTATAAGCACACTCTTTGCTACCTGTATACAAAATTTTGAAGCAAATCCTTAAAGTGTAATGTCAGAATCGCAAAAATAAGGAAAAACTATGAATTTGACCTAGATTTTGACCTAGGCATTTTTGCGTCCAAATTTTAAAGCTAGATAGCCTTCGAGATCCTCTCCTTTTATAGGCTTTCAGAATATTAAGCTGTACTCAGTCTATATC